GGCTGAGCCCGGCGGGTGACATTTTGTTCCTGTTGGTTTGTGCTTCTCTCACCCCTTGGTGATGGAACTTATGATTTCCTGTCTTACAGGACCTCATTCTGTTATCATTTAATATGTTTTAAATCATTTGAAGAAGTTGGTTGAATCCACAATGATTTTTAACTTTGGAAGGCATTTATAATATTTAAGAGGCAGTCAACTATTATAAATTATTTTGATGACTTATGACACTATCCACATTTAAAATAAAGGATCTTTTTGATTATTTAATGCAGATTTTGTTTTTTGTTTTGTTTTGGTCTTGTGGGGCCTCGGGTGTGATACGAAGTACTTTGGGATTCAGATGAGCTGTCAGCTGGGGAGCAGCCCCAACTCGAGGGGAAGCTTCATGGTTTTTTAGCTTGAACTATGAGTTTGGGTACTTTTAATCCATTTGCCTGTGAAGTCCTTAAACAGGCAGCTGGGTACAGAAGGGTCCTCTCAATTATACTGTAAGTGCCAAGATAAAAGGTGACATTTCCCTCCCATCCCAGAGGAGACACAGAATTCAGTGCCAAGCCACAAAGCCGCCTCAGGGCCACATTCGATGCAGGGTGTACATTGAAAGGCAAGACGAGGACTTGGCTCCCAGCAGCACCCCCAGGAGCATCACACAGTGACCTCAAACTGAGGAGCAGCCTCCTGGACGCCGCCCCACCAGGAGCAGAGCAGTCTCTTCAGGTCCACTGGCCGTCAGGAGGGTCGACCAGTGTCCATGGTGAAGGCAGCCAAGACGGAACCTCCACGGCCCCGAGGCCGACCTGCTGAGTGCCCGAGGCTCCGCCCAGCTTGGCGTGTCCCAGTCCCGCTCTGAGCCCAGTGTTCCAGGGCAGTGCTGTGCTCGCACTCTTGGTGCGTGGCTGTGGGTGGGACTGACCTGTCCACGTGTGAGTTCAGGTGACGGCAACACCAGTGCTTATCTCAACAMCCCCATGGACGGAGGGGGCGCAGATGGAAGGAAGATCCTTAACCAGATAACTGGCCTCTGGAAACTCCAGGCAACCATGTTTCAGGTAAAAAGTGACCAGGGCTGGGTGCGGTGGCACACACCTGTAATCCCAGCAGCTCGGGAGGTGAGGCAGGAGGATCATGAATTCAAAGCCAGCCTTAAAAAAGTATTTAAAAAAAAAAAAAAAGGGCTGAGGATGTGGCTCAGTGGTCAAGCTCCCCTGGGTTCAATCTCCCATACTAAAAAATAAGTGATGGGGCAAGACTAGGCTGCCCGTTCTCTCCTCTGCCCCTGCTGAAGGCCAGCAGGACACAGGAGAAAGGAAGGGCACGGGAATGGGGCTAGAGCGTCCTCACCGCAGGACATCGCCAATTTACAGAAAATCAGGAGTGTTCAGAAATACCAAGTCCTGGGTTCAATCCCTGGTGCCAACCCCCCCCCCCAAAAAAAAAAACAAAAAACAAAAACAGAAATACCACCATGGACGGTCCCCGACTCAATTTTTCAACCCCACGGTGGTGGGCGCAGGAGGACAGCCAGTCAGACACATTGAGCACATTACTATTAAACAGACTGTTAGATGGTTTTGGTGAACTTGGGCTAATTTAAGTGCCTTGGCACATTTAACAGAAGCGAGGCTAAGCGAGGGCATTTYGGCAGACCAGGAGTATCAAAAGCACTTTCAGCTTGGGATTTATTGGGACGCAGCTACTCTGGCCGTGGGTGGGAAGCAGCGTCAGGTGACATACCTTGGGTCAAAGTCAGTAGCTCCTATAGAGACGGTAGTGTATGTGATTTAAAAATAGATGGAAGTGTGTACACCAGAGAGTGGCCAGAGTCATTTGAAGAGAATTTTGGAGGGGCTGGGGCTCAGTGGTAGCGCGCTCGCCTAGCATGGGTGAGGCCCTGGGTTCGATCCTCAGCACCTCGGAAAGTAAAATAAGGACATTATGTCCACCTACAACTAAAAAATAAGTATTTAAAAAAAGATTTGTAGGAATGTTCCAACTCAAGACCATGCTACTGACTGAAGGACAAGGAGCTGATTAGAACAGGAAGACCCACACGTGCCTGGCTAGCCAACCATCASCAAGGAGCTGGCCTGCCCCGAGGGGAGAGGAACCAGACCACGCTTGCTGGAGGCCTCACACCCCATCTTAGGCTCAGACCATTTCCAGGCGCATCATAGAGCCAAACACAACACTGTTAGCTTCAGAGGAAAACGTAGGGGAGTCTCTTCATTGCTTCAAGGTGACTTGGCAGAAGAACTAGCCATAAAACATTAATGGGATTGGGATTAATGGGATTGTTTATCAAGACACCATGAGGAAATGAAGTCAGCTGTAAACCTGTATCTGGTTCATAAACAGTGCTTAAAATTCAACAAAAACCCTAAACTTAAAAATGGATGAGATGCCTAATAGATGCTTTTTTCCTCAAAGAAATATATAAAATGCCAGGTGCGGTGGCACACGCCGTGACCTCAGTACCTCAGGAGGCACAAGTCCAAGGGCAAGTTGGCCAATGAGAAAGACCRGTCTCAAAAACCAACAGGGCCGGGGAGGTGGCTCAGCGGTGGGGTTCAGTCCTGAGCACCCCGGCCATGCACGCGGAAGGAGAGCAAGGACTTGGGGCAAACAACCCGGCAAAGAGGAAATGTTTTTAAACAACAACAAAAAATCTGCTTCTGCACAGATGAGCAGGAGGGTCTGGGCGGTCCTCCTGGGAGAATGTGCTCCTGCTCCTCCTCCTGGGGACACTGGAGACGACCACTTGGGGAGAGAGAGGCGTCAGTGCACAGTTGGCGCACGGTGGAAGCACAGGGTGGAACAGACCACTTACCTCAGGGCCGGCAAGTGAAAGGTTGGGTCCCCTCAAGGGCACTTCCTCAGGGACCCCGAGACTGCCACCAGGCCCCACCTCTGCAGTTTCCACCACCTCCTGGCAGCAGGCCAGGCCTCACACGCAGGTGGCAGTTCTGTTCAGACTCCCGGTCACAATGAGTGTCGTCAGTGCTCCAGAGACAAAAGGTGAGCCCCAGATTTCCACCCTGAGGTGGGAAGTACGGTGGAGACAACGGGACTCCCAGGTGCACCTGTTGCAGAAACGGGGGAGAGAATGAGGAGCCCAGGAAAGAAGCTCGGTGTGTGCTGACACTTGAAAGGCAGAAGAGGTTGTGCCAGGCCTGGGCAGGTGGCAGGCTGGGTGGGAGGGAGGAAGGGAGCTGGGTGTAGATCCCAAGAGCAGTCCACAGCCTGTCCTGTGCGCTCCCTGCTTACCTGGTCTCTGGAGGAAGCACAGTGCGCAGAGGTCGCCATCAAGGAAGGCACGAGACACCTGTCCTGTTTCCATAGCTGGAATAGAGACTGGGTTACAAGAACCCCTGGGTTCCCAGAAAGCTGTCCTCAAGGATGAGAACCCTAATTTTAATTTCCAAGGACAGAGAGAATTCCAAAGACCAGTCAAGAGCACTGGGGAGGACTGAAGGGTCCTGCCCCAGGGAAGGCGGGTCTGGCTCTGGCGACCTCTGCAACCTCAATGTCTCCATTTCCCACGGGTGCCACATTACTGTGTGCTTGGGCCTTCAGGCACTTAGGACACCAGTGGAGGTGGCCAAATTAGTAAAGTCTGCCCGGGGGAGGCAAGGTCTTCTTACAGTCCCCACACATATGTCCAGGACTCACTGCAGGGGATTCTGGGTTGGCTGGACCCAGGTGGCACTGGTCACCGAATCTGACCCTTAGCCCTGTGGGGTTTCTCTCCACAGGGTTATAACCTCCTGTATTCCTGCTCCCCTCCCTGCTTCCCGTGAGACTGTAATTAGGGGAGCGAAGCTGATGACCAGAACCATCTTTCTTGTCTTTCCTGGCCACCATAGGGAGGAGACAGGGAAAGGCATCCACTCAAACAGCCCAAGGTGTCCCCTTCTCTGTGCGATCACTGGTGGTCAAGTCTGAAAGCAGAGGGGGAGGACTGCACCAAGCCAGAGCTCAGAGACATCAGCTCAGGGCTAGGGGTGCAGCTCTGGGGTGCAGCGCACAGGTTCAAGGCCCTGGTTTAAAAAAAAAAAAAAAAAAAAAAAAACTGAAACTGCTGGTACCACTCTCCAGGCAGCAGACGCCTCCCATGGGGAACGTTTAAACACTGTTTGCAGGTACTCCGAGTTCACAGTAAAGGCAACACAAGAATTTACCACTTCCGTGTATAGGAAGCAGGAGCTAACAACACATAAAATAAATGAATAAAATAAGGTTCGTCAACAACCCCCCATAAAAACATTTAAAAAGGGGGCTGGGTTTGTGGCTCAGCAGTAGAGTGCTCGCCTCGCACGTGCAAGGCTCTGGGTTCAATCCTCAGCAACACGTAAAAATAGATCTTGGGTATTTTCAATTTTTAGCAGCCCTTTAAATCGAACGCATTAAATAGGCTGATGATAGAAACAAAGGCCCTGTCGAGCAGGCTAAGCCTGGAAAGCCATTAGGAGAAAAAATTCCAGCCAGGCGCGGCAGTGCTGATACGTGGGAGGCTGAGGCAGGAGCAGTCCGAGAAAATGATGCCAGTCTGGGCAGCACAGATGCTAAATCAGGGATTGAACCCAGGGGCTACCAAACACTGAGCCACATCCCCAGTGCTTTATATTGTTTTGAGACAGGGTCTCACTAAATTAGTTAGGGCCTCAGTAAGTTGCCAAGGCTGGCTTTGAACTTGCAGTCCTCCTGCCTCAGCCTCCCGAGCTGGGATCATAAGCGTGACTGCAAACACAGGAGGCACCAGCACCATCTGCCTCCGTTGCACAAGGAGCACACCAGCTACGACATTGGCCTGAGGGTCAAGTCACTGGTGAAGGAGGAGAAGCGAGGTGATGGCATCAAGGCTAGAGACCGAGGGACGAGTCAGAGGTCCACGCATTCCAACAGCCATCAGCAGAAGAGCCTCAGCCCAGAGTGAGAGGGATGAGCAGAGAACACAGGCTGCTGTTATAGATGTAAAATATTTTATTTGTAAATGGTGATCTTCTAAATCTGTGTCCACAAATTCCAAAACCCATAACACTCTGTATACTTCAAAAAATTCAATTTTTGCCAACATCAGATACTATTATACATAACAGAAAACAACAAAAACCCGGTAGGACAAATACTGGTAGGATGTCAGAATTTTGTACAATAGAAGAAAAATATTCAAGAAACAAATTTCATACAGCTATTTATCAAGAGAAAAATATATACAATTGATTTATTCTGTAAGATAAAAATACATCATGCCATATACATGACAGGTGAGGCCCGCAGCACTGGCGCGCACAGCTCAGCCCACGCGACTGTGCACAGACGTCATCCTCCACGCTGTGAAGTGTCAGTACCAGAACCCGAGGTACACAGCAAGAAGCTACCTGGGTCAAAATGCTGATTAAGTTTCTACAAGCAAACACAAAACAGTGTGTGTTTTTATTAAAGAAATGTAAACAGTTCATACAAACACATTTTAAAATTACATCTTCGAAAAACCCTCTTGCCGGAGTCCTGCAGATGCGAGCATGATCATCTCTTTTTTTTCTTTTTCAAATTTTTGTGTTAAATAGAAAGCTAAAGTTAGGTTAAGTTCCTGCTACATGATTCTATTATGTGTACATGATTCTCTGTGATCTGAAACAAACTTCTAATCAAAACTACTTTTGCTGAAGAAAAAGTCCAGCCTCCATTTGGATGTATTTGTGAGCAGTTATTCACAGTTATCACAAATCGTAAGCACAAAAAACCTGACTGAAGAAGTAGGGATGCAACAATATAATGTGAAAAAAAGTTAAAATTACCAAAACCGCTATAAAAGTTGTAGTCATAGCATACACTCTGTTCAGTCAGAAGTTAGGTGTATAAAACAAGTACTAATAGACCGCAGTTTCAAAAAAAGCCCAAACACTCCAGGTTGAAATTTTGGTTGTTACGTAATTATAATGGCATATTTAATAAGACAAAATTATATTGTGACATCCCTATGACGTTTTATAAGCACCGAGCTGCTGCAGAGCCTGGTAGCATTTGGTCAATAACTATTTTTATACTGTATTTTTTTTCTCAAAATATTTACATGTTTGTACAAAGTGACAGGGTCCGTTAGTCTGCAGGGAACAGCAGCAGCTTGGCTTTCTTCTAACTTTTATTTAAAAATAGCTTCATTCACTTATTCAATAATAAATACAAAAAGTTTCTCTTATTTTACAGAAATCAAAAACTACAATAAACTGACTCATGGAATCAAGTATTTAAATGTATTTAGTGCAAGTTATTATCCCTTAGCTCTATCCCTAAGGAAGTCATCTCAGTACATTCCTGTTCAGTGGTGTCCACTTCACTCGACCAGAGGCCTGCCGCAGGGGGCGTGGCCAGCACTCTGGACGCCCTGGCTGGTGATTGCAGTCTTACATTCATAGGAGGCCCCTGCCCTGGGGCAGGGTGGCCATCGGCTCTTTGCCCCAGTAAGTTTCTCCTTAGTGAGATTAAGGAAACACAACAAAACAAAAAACAAAACAAAACAAAACAAAACCCACCCACAGGGAAACAAAGAGGAAGGAAAAGAAAGGAAAAAGAAAAACAAGCAAAAGTGCTGGACCATCTGTGCCTCTGTTCAACCCTCACCCTTCCTCCTGCACCTCCTTAACCTCAAGGACCGAGGAAACCAGAATCCCAGAAGCTATTTTTCAAAAGTCATAAAAAACAGAAAACAAAAATATCTTTCTGTCTGCAAAATTCCAATGGTGTGTTGAGTCGCCTCTTCCTAGGGACAAGCCGCCCGCTGAGATGGCAAGGAATGCATTCAGTTCATCCACTTCCGGCAGTTTACCGCTCCACAGTGACACGGGATCTTGTGCTGGTCGTCTTCAAAGTCAAACTTGTAGTCATAGCAGAGCTGCCCGGAGCAAAGACACAGCGTCAGTCAAAACCCAGGTGAGGAAGCGAGGCTCTGCCTCCCTCACGGGCACCACCCACCAGCCGCCCAACAGGCACGCTCTCCAGGAGGACCTGATCAGCTGAGGCTCCCCGGTCCTCCAGGTGGGGACCTTGAAGAGAAGAAACTAAGGGTGCTGTCCTTTAGGGCTCGCCAAATATTACCACCATCTCAGACCCAGCAGCTGGCGAGGTGGTGGGAGGCGGTGGGAGATGGCGGGACAAGCCGCACCCTCAGCTTCCAGCTGTCCTCTCTACCTCTACCCCTGGGTAATCCCACAGCCAAATCAAAGGGGCCAGTGACTTCCTGGGTCTCTTTCAACTCCAACATCCTAGAACGTTATTTGCAAGACTTACTACATAGAAAGGAAGTGTTTACTGAGCAGCTACTCTTAGTAAACACTCTACTGCCTTCTATTAGGTTTTTATAGGAGCTTCATAAGGAAATTATTTTCACTACTTTACAGAACATAATAGAGGATTAGAGAGGCTAAAGGACTTACTCAAGACTCAACAGAAGGGCAGCTGGGCCAGGCTCAGCAGGCTCCGCCCAGCCTTCACAGCGCCCTGCTGGTGCTCTATGTCCTGTCCCTTTCCCTCAGGTCACTCTGAGATGTCAAAGGGCCTTGGGTCTAGTCATTCCCTTATTCTTGATTAGAAAAGTGGATTCCAAAAGCATGACCAGACACACAGGTGGGATCCCAACTGTGCTCAGAAAAGCTGGGTCCACCACAGCCCCTGGGCTCCTCGCTTCCCAAGAAACACAGCTCTCAACCCAGGGCACCGAGAGCAAGATGCTGATCACATGTGACAGACAGAGTGGAGAAATCAAAATGAGGCAGTCAACTCAACAAAAAGGTGAAACCATAGGCCAAGTGATCTTATGAGACCAAGGGGACTCATATGTCAAGTGTAGCATTCATCATTTTGAAGCCCAAAACCACAAAATACCTAAAATTATTGGAAAATCTGTTGATGTGAAAAATCTGCAAGCTTATATTGACTGTGAGTGTGAAGACGAGCTATCTGGAGCACATGGCTCCCCAGATCTGCACCTACGGCCCTCCTAACACCAGCGCCCACACCATCTCGTGCCCACAGACAAAGAGCACCAAGTCTGTGTTCTGCACACAGCGATCAGTGATGTCCATCTCCAGAGAGGATCTGCCAGACGGCACAGGGCCAGAGGACAGGAAGGACCCCGAGACACCTGAGGGTGGGTGCCGCTGTGTGGAAGGGAAGGGCAGGGAGCGGGAGGCTGCTGTGTGGTGGGAGGGGGCAAGGTCACCTCCCCAGGACTTTCCTCCCAATCAGGAAACATCCGAGCAGGCGCTGTGGGCAGGAGGGCATGCCCCCACCAGGCACAGACAGCGGCACACCCCTGCCCTCACCTCTTCTCCTTTCTGGATTCGCCGATTGGAGCTGATGATGATTTTGTGTCCTCTCTCAAAAGTCACCACTTCGGCCACACAATTAGGCGCACACGAATGGTTGATGTATCTGCAAGCCACCATGTCAGAAACAACTGGAGGAACTCTTTACAACTTCCATTCACAGGGCAAACTTTTAAATTACTATATTTCTATTAACCCGTTAACAAGACAAATTTCTAAATAAAAATGCTTCTTAAAACTCAGTAGCCCACGTCTGTAATATGTGCTGCCCGCAGTGTGAGCTCTTCCCCTGCTTTGGCCACCTCCCCTCTGCACCAATCCCCTGCAGAACCCTGTTCCCTGGGTCTTTTTCGCCTCACCTTGCAGGCCCTCCAGTGAGTGTTGCGTCGATCACATGGTCACTGTCCATACGGAACATGTACACACCGCGGTTCTACAGAGAAAGCAGGCGACTCAGTGCACAACCCAAACTCTTCCACCCAGACCCTCAGCAGCAGGCCCAGCTGCCCCATCGAATGCACCCTGACTGCACTCCCTAGGGCCACTGGGCCAACTGCAGCAGGTGCATCTGCATGGGACCAACAGCAAGCATGGAGCCATGGGTCCAACGCAGCCAGGCCCGATAATCTACAGCTACACCTTCACAATACCACCACCGATAAACAAAACCGAAGGCACGAGACCACAGAACAATGCAAAGGTATGGAGACACAGTGTTGGTTCGAGACCAAACACAGTACACGGATGTGGCCCAGCCTGTCAGGTGTTTGGAAGGCACAGGGACAGAGATGAGGGATTGTGTTCAGTCTACTCATCACAGGGACCAGAGCCTACCTGGGACTCGTACAGCTTCTCTTTCCTGTTGGCCACTTCATTTCGAATGATCGTCCCGATGTACTCGATGACCATGGTGTGCTTCTCTATGTCCCGGGCAGCATACAGGCCGAGGCCCTGGGAGAAAGCACGAGCACACATCACACTCTGGTTACAGACACAACAGTGCTATCCTGGATCTATCAAAAGCCACACTTGAGGTTTTCACCTTAACCCAAGCGATCTTTTTCACCGAATATCTTAGTTTCTGAAAAGCTTGCCACCTAGGGCTGTGCCATTGCTACTTGGTTCCTATGTCTTTATACTAAATTCTTAAGAGCACAGCTGTATTGTTGTGAATGTGCCCCAAAGTCCACAGTGGGAAACTTGCTGCCTGTGCCATAGGGTTGACAGGTGGGGCTTCGGGGGCTCGGGCCAGGGGGGCTCTCTCTGCTCCTGTGCATGGTTGGTGCTGATATTTTGAAAATGGGCTATTCATCCTGGGAGTGACTGGTCCTGACAGGTGGACTAGGTCTACTTCCCTGCTGCACTTGCTGTTTGGCCTTCTACCCAGGAAGATATGGCAAGAAGGCCCTCACCAAGTGCATCTGACCCCTTAATCTTGGCCTTCCCACACTCCAAAATGGTGAGCCAAGTCAAGTTCTGTGATCTGGGAGCTGCTACCGTATGATGTCCTGTCATGGCAGCACACAGCAGACCAAGGCCAACTGTAAAGGAACGCTGCAGACTGTGTACACACCACCCAGCAGGCCCTGTTCTCACAGAGCACTGGGTGAGCTCCACCCACCAAGGCAGGAACAGCTTCTGGTGGGTATGTTCTCCTGCTACTGTTTCAAGAAGGACTTGACATGACAATCAATTTAGTAAAACAGAAACAGATAACCATGAGGAATTATTACTATGAACAGGTTTTAGGTTTGGCTGAATTTCCTAGAAGGCAAAGAGAAGAAGCAAAAACATGACTCTGCTGTAATAATCAGGAAAGTTGAAAACAAATGAAACTCTTTTTTTATATATATATATTTTTTAGTTTTCGGCGGACACAACATCTTTCTTTGTATGTGGTGCTGAGGATCGAACCCGGGCCGCACGCATGCCAGGCGAGCGGGCTACCGCTTGAGCCACATCCCCAGCCCACAAACGAAACTCTTAAGGAAGGAATTATCTTTGCTCTAATAAAAAATTCTGGGCAAGAATGTACTGCAACTTGAACAGGCTGCAACTTGAACAGCCCCATCTCTCCAGGGGCAGCTTAGGATGTCTGTGAGAGCCCTGAAATTACATACTACATGCAGTGCTGTGAAGTCTTCATCATGCTGGGTGTAGTGACCCACACCTGTGATCCCAGTGGCTCAGAGGTTGAGGCAGGAGGATCGCAAGTTTAAAGCCTCAGCAACTCAGCAAGGCCCTAACCAACTCTGCAAGACCCTGTTTCAAAATACAATATAAAAAGGGCTGGGGATGGGGCTCAGTGGTTAACCACCTCTGGGTTCAATCCCCAGCACAGAAATCAAYAAACAAATAAATAAATAGAATCAAGTTTGTATCACTACAAATTGTAGAAAAACAACATACTGAAAAAATATGTCAAAATCTCATCAGTATCTGCATTTCCTAAACCTGATTTGGGTCTCTGCCTTCAGTTCTGAGCAGAAGGCAGCAACGGAGAACCCTGGGGAGCCCAGCAGTCCAGAACAGACAGGAAGACGAGGGAAACAGCATCCAGACCCTTCTCTGCCTACGGCAACTTCCTGTGCAGTGATTACAGGAGTGTGAAAACTCAGCTGGACGTGAATGAGTCACAACTGGTCGCCCAAGGGGAGTAGGTAAAGCTGTCTCGTATCACAAGAGGAAAGTACCTGCGAGTGCATATGAAGAATATGGACTTGACCAAGGCTAGAAGCCACAGAAACTTAACTGTTTAAACCTTCATAAGAAAAAGAGAGACCATATTTCCTCATAGACAAAGAATGTTTCACAGGAGAACTAACAGTTGATTGAACTAACACTTGATTCCCCAAGGTGAATCCAAGCAGGAGACAAGAAAGGCACCCATTTGTCAATGGGTGGGAACTTCAATTAAGGTCACAAAGGTCACAATGCCACTCCACACTGAAAGAGTGGCAAAAGCATGAGGAATGGTAACACCTACCAAAAATGGGACAAGAAGAACAGTCTCCTACCCCACAGGGAGGAATGCACAGTGCTGCCTGCTCAGAACCCAGCACCATCGGCTGCGAGGAAAAGCAAGCACAGCCGAACACACGCCTTACTGTGGGCTCAGCCTCCATGCRGGGGGCTACACCCGGGAGTCTGTGTTCAGGACGGGATGGCACACTCCCTACGGGAGTGGCTGAGGGCAGCTCACCACAGCATGGTGCCATCTGGGGCCTGGGGCCAGTGAGAGAGGGAGTGGGAGAGGCTAGTGACTCCGTGTTCACCTGAGTGCACACACGTGCATGTATTTCCATGGCAGGTGCACGAAGTCACAGGAGCCTGCTGTCAGTGCCACGAGGACTGGGAGGGAGAGGAAGAGAGGCAGACCGATGGAAGGAGGAGGAAACTAGAGAGCTCAGAGAGCTCAAGAACGCTTCAGGCTGATGGCGACCCGTGGAGCACACAGCAAAGACACCACTGAAACCCTCCTCCGGCACGAGGGCACGGTCCCGAGACATCCAGAGCGTGAATAAAGCCCCACTACAAGGGGCAGGGACAGGGTGCTCACTCCTGTAGAGTCTGGGGGGCTCAGCAGTAGGAAGAAGGTCCATCCACGACCTACACACAGGGGTGGAAGTGTCAGGAGGACCTGGGCTCTTAGCTGACACACGAGGAAGAGCAGCAGAATAAGGCAGAGCAAGTCTCGGGGCAGAGAGCTGGGAAAACAGAGCTGGGGAGGAGACTGTCAGTCCCAACAAGTTCCTCCACAAGTCTGGGGGCCATGCTATGAGATCTGAGACCTCAGGGGTGCGGTGTTGGTCTACAGAGATAAAGCAGAAGAGGGACTTGCAAAACAGTGTGCAGCAAGCGTTTCTCAGATGGAGGCCACAGTCCTCCAGGGTGGAAGGGTTCATCAAGTGAGAAAAGTAGTCCATCAAGAAAGGCCTCAGTCTGGGTACACTTCCGTGAAATATCCAAATATCAAGAAGAAAGAGAGGATCCGGAACCTTGCAGTGAGGAGGAAAAAGATGCCCCCCCAAAAAGAACCCGAGAGCGTCCACACAGATCAGGACTCCCGTTCACGTTCTCAACGAAGCCCATGGACTCCCTGGAGCCATGACAGGGTGGCCATGAAGGGGCTGGGCCCGACACGGGATGGGGGAGGTGGTGAACAGAGGCCGGGCGAGGGCGGCCGGTGGAAGCGGCGGTGCCGCCCAGCAGCACTAGGGCCCACAGCACTGTCAGGAAGGCCAAGCCTGGCAAGAGGAGCTCTGCAGCTGCCCCGGGACACAAAGGAGAGATGCTGGACATTGACTGCAACACTGAGGTCTTCAGGGAGGAGCCGAACGAGGATTCTGATTGCTCAGCCTAAATGGCCTTACCTAAAGACATCTCACGACCTAGACCTGTGTGGTGACTCCATAGAAAGACGGCATACAAAAAATAAGGTGACTTCCAAAATTGGAGCACCTTTTAAAAACATTTTCATTTTTCATAAGATGCTTAAAACAGCCCAACTGAGCCATGTGGGTGGCTGTCATTATGCCTGTAATCCCAGTGGTTCAGGAGGCTGAGGCGGGATGATCGYGAATTCAAAGCCAGCCTCAGCAACTTAGTGAGACCATGTCTTAAAATAAAAATAAATTAAAAAGGGCTGGTGGGGCTGGGTTGTGGCTCAGTGGTGGCGTGCTCGCCTAGTTGTGTGAGGCCCTGGGTTCGATTCTTAGCACCACATAAAAATAAGTAAACAAAATAAAGGTATATATTTAAAAAAAAAAGGGGGGGGGCTGGGAATATGTATAGGTGGTTAAGACCCCTGGGTTCAATCCCTGGTACATATATTATATATATAAAAAAAAAAAAACAGCCCTACTGAGCTCTCCAAAAAATCTAGTGTGTGCAAAAATATAGCAATATTTTTTTCCCAAGAGTTCCAAAGGGCATGCACTGAGATGCAAAGATGTGCATCCCCAACGTCAGCTTCTGTTTGAAATTACTGGTRTTATAAACTGACAAAACTGAATAGGACTTCAAAATATGATTCTTGGGATGCAGCTGTGGCTCAGTGGTAGAATGCTTACTAGAGCAAGCCTGAGGCCCTAGCGAACCAGACTCTATTGTCCCTACAGCCAGGTCAAAGAGCTTTCCACATCCTATTATGTCTCCTATTGCCAGACACCACCTGTGACTCTGAACACAGTCCTCACCTGGATGCGAGACCGGGCCAGATACACATTGGATTTCCACTCGGTCTTCATTCTCCGGTACTGCGATGACTTGGAGTGGACAAACTGCTTACTGTAAGGCGCATTCAGCTCCCCAGTAACCGTGCTCTGAAAGGACTTTGAGGTGCTGGTGCTGTTCAGGGTGTGCGGCCTGCAGATGATGGCGTACCAACAGGAAACAAAAGAAAAACTGAAGACGCCTCTGAATGATGCCCAAAGCCAGACTGATTCAAAGTCTTACTAACAGAAACACACGGAAAGCTGCCTAGCAGAGACACACGGCGTCCTCTGAGGTAGTCAGGCACATACACAGCCAGAGACAGCAGGGTTTGTAAGCAGCAGACAAATAAAGCACAAAAACCGCTAATACGCCTAGAAACCCTGGGCTGTACTATGTGAAGTTAAAACAAAATACCTTAACACAAACCTCTTGACATGGGCACTCATTTTAGGTTCAGAACGGGCACAACCTGTGGGGTTAACGGCAAGGGGGAGTTCCATGAGTGGATTCCGGCCATAGCGGAAGGTGTAGTTTTCACAAGCCTCAACCCCAGGTAGCTGAAAAGAAGCAAAATACACAAAAAGATAACCATGTGACTGGGACCACAAAAACCACTCAAACATTTTTCCAGGTAACAAAATGGTCTTTTGACCTATTAAACATAATCAGCCTGCACTCAGATCTATTTGAGCATGAGCTTGTCGGCTCAGTTTCAAAGCAGAACTCAGCAAACCCTGACAAGTGCTCTCAGAAGAGAAAGATCAAACCCACAGAACCCCATACAACCAAGCACACATGTGCGTGCTGCAGGTTCCAAGACCAACAACCAAAACACAGGGAATGAAGGACTAACAACTTAGTTCTTCCATCTGAATTTTAAAACTAAGAGCTGCTAAGATTTTTTTTTTTTTACATGACTTGCTTTCTTGATCATATATTTCTTCTTTAAAACATGACAATATGACATGGTATCATCCGCGATGTCCTAGGAGTGTAGTGGCAACTAACTAAAGGTGTATTCATTAAGGGTCTTTTCTAGAACATATTTCTTGTGAAACATTTTTCTCTGTAGTCATAGAAGTCGGACATCATAGGCAGGGGTATTCCAAAGGAGGCAATCAGGCCTGCAACTAAGGTAACACACCAGTGAATTTTTATTCTTGAAAACAATGCCTTAGCTGGGTGTGGTGGTGCACATCTATAACCCCAGCAGCTCAGGAGGCTGAGGTAGAAAGATTTAAGTTAAAAGCCAGTCTCAGCAACTTAGCAATGCCCTGAGCAACTTAGCAAGGTCCTATCTCAAAATAAAAAAGGCTGGGATGTAGTCCAGTGGTTAAGCACCCCTGTGTTTAATCCCTGATACCCCCCAAAATATACAATGCCTTATCAACATGTAATTTTCCAGAAGTATTATGTACCCATGCTTCAGACAGCGTCACTGCCAAACTCACTTGTTATCTTTTGAACAGAGTCAGAGGAGCCTTCTACCAAACGCTGCTACAGCCTGCTGCCCTCTAGAGACTGACCCCAGGAAGAAGCCAGGAGAGTGGCCACAAATATGCAGAGCCAGGAAAAGGGAACCCCAACATTCTCAAGTGCAGAACCTCGGAAGGCCAGGGAAGAGGGTTTCCCCATCCACGTAGATAGCGAAGACATGACAGCTGGCGTCCTCCACCCTGGCTAGCCTCTGGCTGGAAGAGACCCTGAGGACTGACCAGAGCTTCTTTGAGGAAAGGGAAATACTGCACTGAGGTCTTCCCTTTGTCATTAGTGCCTGTTTTCCTCCAGATACAGGGGTCAACCCACAGGCAAAATCCTGCTCTGAAAAGCACAAATCCTGCCATGGTGTGGTCAACTGGCTCCGCTGAATTAGAAGGCAGTTCCTGTTCTGGACCGTGAGTTAGGTACTCACTGATTCTGCTATCCGTGCCACTGCGGAGACAGTCAGGCCAAACAGGTCTTCTCCTTTCAAGTAGGCAGGGAAGAGCTGGAGCATCTCAGACGTCTTCCTCACACTGGCCACAGGCTCCAAGATCTTATCCCAGACACCTACATGCAGACAGGAAGGCGATTTCTATGACGACCCCACTCTTAGCTAAGCAGGGAGAAAAGCAAGGGAAGCACAAACCCAGAGAATGAAGCCCAGCCCCTCACACACAGCAATCTAACAGACCTGTTTACTAAGTGACAGCAATTTAAAGACTTTATGAAATTGGGGGGGAAATAACGTTACATTATGGATAAAGAGTAAAAGTAAAAAGGTTACTTTAAGATAACTGAGATTCATGCAACTAGCTAATCCACTTTCTTACTGATTAAACAACATACTAGTTTCAAAATGATTAGTCCAATACATAATGTCTGTAGATATACGTTCCTTTCTCCTCAAATCTAAATTAAAATGTGAAATTGACAATTTTCTTAGGAATATCTTCAGAGCATTTCATACATTTTTAATAAAATGGTCAATTTTTAAAATGCAGCTGTCCAGTGCTTTCTGCATCAATAAAAATGACTTATCAGACTTACCCTGGAGTCAAAATTAAGTGTCTAGTTCCCAGCTCTGAACTTGTATGATACCTGATGCTTCTGTGATGTTGAGAAAACATACACAGTTCACTTCATATATGGTTGCTGCCTTTTAGAAACTGACACTAAGAAGGTCCCCAATGGGACACAGCGGTACACACCTGCAATCCCAGCAACTTAGGAGGCCAAGGCAGGAGGATTGCAAGTTCAAGGTCAGCCTAAGCAACTTAATGAGACCCTGTCTCAAAATAAAAAATAAAAAGGACTGGGGATGTGGCTCAGTGAGCACCAGGACTTTAAAAATACCCAGTACTTAAAAGAAAGAAGGAAGAGGACCCCCCCACCCCAAGGTAAATGGCAGGTAACCTTTACCTACAAATTATTCTCAGATTTATTTTACCAACTTTTATGCTCAAATACATGTTGACTACAAAAGTGCTTAGAAAACTGTATAGCAAATAGCAAGGTATAATACAAGGAGGCCAAGATCCGCATCTGTAAATGAAAACTACTCGTCTGCTGTTACATGAACTGAACGTGAGGATACAAAATAGGGCAGGGGATGTGGCCCAGTGGTTGAGTGCCTGAGTTCAATCCCTGGTATCCCACCCCACCCCACCCCACCCCACAAAAAATGTTGATGTAAAAAGCATTCATCAGCCTAACATCGAGCCCCTGGCTCTGCAGAGCATGTAGGTGGCAGGCCTGACCTTTCGGTGATGTGTCACTCAGGACGAGGTCCTCATGGCCTTGCTCCACAATCCTGATGACGAACTCTGGGCGCCCGTCCTTCTCCTCAATGGAGCAGAGGTAGCGGCAGCGCCTGTTGGCATAGCGCGTGCTCCAGTACAAGCGGCTGGCCTCGTAGCCCACGGGGAAGAGAGCCTTAGCCGAGTGGAACGCCTGCATCTGCTGGGGAAGCAGCTGACCAATCGTGTGGAAGATGAGGCTCCCAACACGAAAGGTGTGGTCCCGCTCTCCCCGCTGCACGATGCTGGCAATCTGCCGCACCTCGTCGCGTTGAACGTAGACCCTCCTGAAGACTGCAAAGTAACTTAATTCTTGCTCATGGATTCCCTTTGGTTTGTGCATGGGGCAAAGCATAGTTTTGTCCTTAAAAAACATGCATTGTGCTTTAATGGCGCATGTGAAGTGATAAATGTTGGTGCATCGAAATCTGTGACATCCACTGGTGGCGCCTGTCTTGTGACAGAAGACACATTTCATCTGTAGGCCTCTCCTCAGAGCTAGCTCCACATTTATCAAGGCACCAGCCTGCGTCTCATAGACCTCTGTGGACCACAGGGCACAGTTCAAGTGGACCCACAGGTCCAAGTCCAGGTTGAGCAGCCTCGCAGGCCCGTCTGTCAGCCCGTCCCCTTCTCCGTGGCAGAAGCAACACTTCCGACAGTCTCTGGGCACAGGGTCAGGTTTAAGAGAAGTGCCTAATTCCTTCAGAAACTCATCTATCTCATCCTCACATGGTGGTTTAAATGTCCCCTTGGGGATGACAATATGAATGCTCCATTTCTTCCATTTCATTCCTCTCCACTTTTTGTTCAGTGGCCTACAGTCTTCAAACCCACCATGAACAGTCCTGAGCCGAGGTTTCAGCTTGACTGTCACCTTAAGCTCATCGGGTTTGGCTTCTACTTTGGCTGCTTCAAAGGCTGGAGGGAAGGTGATGGGCGGTGAAGGAGGGGGGGAAGTTTCTTCCTGGAGCTGAGGGAGGCAGTGCACACCCAGTGTGGAGATGTTGTTGCTGTACTGGTGAAACACTCTGGATGGCATCGTTCTCGTGGGTGACTGTGGCAACGAAGGAGTGGATTCCTGGCCGTAAGCAGCAGCCATGGAGGAAAAAGAAGAGAGTGACTCACATGCCCTAAAAGTAGTTCTACTTCAGCAAGAAGCCAAGCAGCTGGTTTAACAGGGGTCTGACTTGATGAGAAGGTGGGGTACATGAGGTTTCGGGCTTAGAGGAAGCTGGCCGAGTCCTACTGGAGAAATGGAGAAGGGCAGGGCAGCCAGGGTGGTTCTATCTATGCCTTTTTCACAGTTGTCATTTACAGAATGCTTACCCCTTAAGCCCTCTTGGACTTTCCCCTTCCCCGTTATAAAAAGCTGGAAAAATCAGTGACATCAGAAGTTCTAGCTAATTTAATTTGTACAACAGTGTCATGTGGCAATGTCATTTGGCAAGAGTTTAACTCCACTCCTGTCCACTATTCTCAGGTGGAATTAACGGGGAAGAGGCTCTCTGCCAAAGAGCAGATCCTGCCCAGGTGTCTAGGCTCCTCACTTGGACCAGCTGCTCAGAGCTGGGCCAGGCTGCCACAAAGTAATGAACACCAAAACCACACAGTCCTTTTGCTCACATGCCACATCCTAAAAGGTAACTGAAAAGAGCCAGGCCTCATCCAGGATCCCAAAGTGGGCAGCTACTGCACACCAGCCTAAGAAACTACCTGGTGACAACCTCCTCACCTAGGCCAGGGTATTTAAATTTAAAGTCCAAATTTACTTGTCAGATGGCTTGGATTTTATTATAGTGAGGACTATTGCCTGTTAGCAAGAAGCCTCTTCAGCACGTTCTCCTGTGAAAGCCATGACTAGCAGTCTTGCTTATGGGATAAAATTTCTTTCAAAACATATAATTAACAATATCACTTGCATCAACTACATACCCAGACTACTTACATCAAGTAAAACAACTTGGCGTGAGCCAAATGCTTTCTCTCACAGTACATGAATAGACTTAAGTTTTATTTTTGAACAAATTTTCCTATTGAAGTAATATTAATAAAAGTATTTTTAAATGTTAATTAAGACTTAAAAATCTGTAATTTGCAGAGATTCATAATTTGTAAGGATCAAGATTTCAGTATTAGTGTTCTACTTAGTTCTGAACTTTGAGAACGTAGACTCATCTGCCCACTCCCTCACTGCACGTGGAAGAGCAGCAAAGGCAAGGCTGCCGCTTTCCCTCATCAAGTCAGTGAGCGGCCACCAGGACCCTCCCTGAGAGCTCTGCAAGGCAGGGACACATCTGTTCTACTCACTCTTATATACTTGGAACACACAAAACCACTCACTACATATTGTTTAGCAGAGATTGCACTAACATTACCTTGTTTTCCGAGTTTTTTGCTTGTGCAGTTGATGAATAAAGAATAAAGCAATTATTACTACAAAAGACGATGTCCTTCTCCATTCTCTTGGTGCTATCTCGAGAATCCTGAAAAGTAGAGAGAAATGTGTGTGTGTGTGTGTGGGGGGGGCGTCTCAACAAGTCGAAACTTAATAAAATCCTCTTAATAAAAAGAGGACATAGGGCTGGGGCATAACTCAGTGGTAGAGCGCTCGCCTCACATGTGAGAGGTAGTGGCTTAGATCCTCAGCACCACATAAAAATAAAGTTGTTGTGTCCATCTACAACTAAAAATATATATATAAAAGAGGCTCTACATGTTGACTGTGATTTTTACATTATGTTAAAAAGTTTCTTGATCTTAAAAATAAGGTGACCATCTCCCAATCTTTAGCATATAATTATATTCTCCTAGAAATGTGCAAACTATATCGTCCCTATTTCACTATCCAGAACTGTGGTCCTTATCACAAACAACTTGGCAGTTTGCTGGAGCTGCCTGGCTTGAAGCCCTGAGGACAACATACTCATGTCACCCCAGGAACATGTCCCACCGTACAGTGGACTGGGCCCCTCCCAGGTGGAAGAGCAGTCAGTGCCACTGACACCTCCAGGGGTGGGGGTTGGGGGTGGAGACAGAAGGCACAGTACCTTGTTCATGAAGGCCACGTCTTTGAAAGATTTCCGCACACCACTTCCAAGGATAACCACTTTGCAGTGACAGCACCACTGTGGTCTGAGTGCTGTGCTTTCTGCAATACCATGACCAGAGTCTTTATATCCAGACAGACCTAGAGGAAACCAACTTTTGTTAGTAATTAAAACTGACCGGTGACATAAGGCATCAGATTACTCTGTACTGACCTTGGATCAACTTACTTTATATTCTTTGATAAAAAATAATGTGACTGGTGTACAAATAAAGAAACACGTTTATTCTCAAACAACTGGGGAAACAATGATAGCATGAAACAATAACAAAACTAAGTCACCAAGATATATTAGTATTCAATCAAGGCACTCAGTGAGTGGAGGAGGAAGAGAGATTTCTGTTGTTTGAGGTTAAGGTGCCACTAAAACATTTCATGAACAATAAAGAGAAATGTGCAGAGGAAATTTAAATAAGCATGACTTGGAGCATCAGAAAGAAAGAAAGCAAAGACCCAAGACCAAGTTAAAATATAAGTTCAGGATTTGGAGTCTATTCAGAACATCTCTGGGATGGGGGAGGTGGATGGGAGATGACAGAAAGAACCAGGAAAAACACAGGTGACAGAAGCAGCTCCCAGCTAAGAGTTCCAAACTGCAGCATGGATGCTCTCAAAAAGACTTTAAAGATGAGAACTGAGGAGCTACTAGATTCTAGAAGGGTAACGACAGAAAAAAGATCCCAAGGAAACTGGCGAGCAGGGAGACATGACAAAGTAGGCTGGTCCCAGCATGGCCTGAGGCAGGAGTGTGGTTTTTCAGTGATGGGCAGGGATGTCCCTCTGGGAAGAGGGTGACCCTGCAAGGGCAGTGTAGATGCAGACAAGGGGAAGAGAGAAGGAAGAGGAGAAGACAAGCAACACACGTCAGACCGGCAGCCTTATCAGCACCACTTGGAGAAGGCCGTCAGTGGCACAGGTTTCAGGGACATGAAGAACAGAAGCTGCTTGAGGGTGAGCAAGTCAGAGGCTTCTTCCAACAGCCTGCAGACAGCTACACTCAACACTCCCTGGTTGACAGCAAGACACCACACACCACAGCACAAGTGGCTGCACCACACTACAGAAAACAGACCGCCCAGCAAGGCTAATTAACCAAGGACTCACACCAGCACGGTGCCTGTTACTTGTTGAAAATTAAATTGAGACTTTAAAAAGAATAAGCTTAATTTTGAGTCAAGAATGGATTTGGGATTAACAAAAAGCTCACTAGCTCACCATTGCTTGTTGGAGGAAATGGTACATTAGGCTGCTTCAGCCGGTAAGAGCTGGCTAATCTGGGAGGGTGTGCAGATCCTGGTGGAGGCCCACGAAGAAGTAAATGCTGTCGATACTCCAAACCTGGGTTTATTCTGTGGCTATTGACCAAACCCATGGATGGAACATCTGGAGCATTACTAACCTCATAGCTGTTAGGAATTCGGACGTGAAGAAGGTCGGAAAACGCAGCCACAACACTGCTAATGTTCTAAAACAAAACGCAAAGCCTGTGTTAGTCACCCAGAAGGCCACAGCGCACCACCACTCTGAAGAGAAACACACTTAGGGTGGATGCTGTCTGCCTGGTGCGTAAAGGGCAAGGAAATCCAACAATTTTTATTTAGACTTGAGAGTCTTGGGGAGGTGATGGGACACGTTTTAATGGACCAATATACAAGTGAAGTCTTCATCAACAGAGACCCTCAGGAGGAGATTTCAACTAATACGAGCAACTTCGGAGCACATTAAGCCATTTAGCTCTCTTAATACCTGAAAGGTATAAAGACCTGAGCATAAGGGATAAGCTGACCTTTTTCAAAAGTTTTCAGAGCAAGCTCACATCACAGGGTGACCAGTCAGCTCTGGCCAAAAGTGTGAAACAGTCCACAAGAATGCTATTCTATTAACGACCAAAATATTGTGATACAGCATTATGAGCTTGGTCTCCAATAAAATGTCTCTGCAGAATTCAGTTTATAAAGATTTAAAAATCCTCAGCAACTCACTAGTATTTGACATAGCAGCTGCTACCTAAAAAAGACTTTTCTACTACTTCTGCAAGACTTTTATTGCTGATAACATTCTTTATTGATGGTTAATTTTCTGCAGCCTTAAGTTTTGAAAAGGTGCCTCTCTAAATGTACATATCTTTTAATAGGAACATGTGGACTCCARCATCCCTTTCTGCCTTGACTTTGGTTAAGATCAATCTCCTGCTAATGCCAGTGCTCAAAAGCAGCCTAGAGGTCTAAATGCCCATTCACCCTACCCTCAACTTTATCTTTTGTTCTCGGTGCCTGCAATTTATGTCAGCCACCAATATCTTCAATAATCGGACATACTTCATGGCATTAAGAAGTCATTTCATCTTTACCTCAGCAGCTGTAGGATGCAGGGTAATTGCTACAGATATGAGACCGGATCTGGGACCATTTGGGGATGAACCAAAAGGTGATGTAAAAAATAAAGTGCCTGGCTCAGTTTTGATGTCATTCCTTCTTGATTCTGAACCTTGAAAGGAGTGGAGGTAGGGGAGAGAAAGACACGTTAATGACTCTTCAAGGTCAAAATATGATAATAGTAAACCAGCGGGAAATGAAGAGGTAATGAGGCTAAGTGGTCTTACTTTTCACAGTTGTGCTAGGAAGAATCGGAATGATGGGGGATGGCACTGGCTCTGGAGGCTCCTCCTTGACCAGTGACAGATCTGGATACCTGCTCACTTCCACTCCAACCACACTCTCAGGAGAGGACGAGGGAACGAAGCTCTCAGGAGTGTCCCGATCACCACAGTGATCCTGTATCCTGGAAGAGGAGCACACACACATCATAGCATGCAAACCCACCACAGGGCCTTCTCAAACCAACTCCATGTATCCCACAACAAGGATGCTCTCTGAGTGATCAATGGCAATAACATAAGCAGCAAATCAATCATCTCAAGGTCAAACAAGGACTCTCTTGGGAAAAATATAAACAGGTTTAGCTATGAAATAGTGTAAACAGCTGTGTTTCCTTCTGACCAAAGCTTCAGTATCAAAGTTTAAAGACTTGCCAAAGAGGAAGATGAATACTAACACCTCTGCAAAACTCCAGGTCACTGAGACTAAGGAAGCCTCCTGTTACTTGAACAGGAAGGAGCAGTCCATGCACACATTCAGTATCACAGCTGCAAGCCAACAGCCAGTGGCTGTGAAAACAGCCATCTGGCTGCTGTTGCTTACCGTGGCAAGAGGGGAGAAAACCTGGGTGCTGTGGCTTCACAGATACTTCTTTTTCTTAACTGACAAAGTAAGGTGAAAAAAGAAGAAAGTGGTCCCTCCTGTCTAGTCTAGGACCTGGGTCCACCAGGGAAATGGTGAAGTCCCAGACTAACAGCTGCAGACTATTCCTGGGACTGCTGTCTGTCTCCCACGCCTCCCGCTCATGCTGATGGAGACCTGAGAAAGGCTTCTGGACAGCGTCCTATGAAGTCCAGGGTTGGAGCAGACACTGTGCTGGGTCACCAAACACCATGCCCAGCAAGCCGCTGTTCACAGCCCCTGAAAAGAGCAATGATGCCTACTCTCGGCAGTGAGGTACAAGAGAAAGAAGACCTGGACTCTGAACCGACAAGTTGCTCTTTTCTTTGGTCCAGTTTTCTCATTAGTAAAGTAAGAGACTAAGACAGTGGATGTCTCATCAAATAGAAGTTATTATGCCAGATTTTCCAAGGAAAAGATAAAAACTTGAAGTATATCTCAACTCCTTGGAACTAACCAGTTGGGTGCTGATTAACTACAATGGGAACCTGATTCTCCCCAATCACAATCCTGGAGCCAAAGAATTAACACAAACTGGTGACAAGCTCTCTGCACAGCAGCACTCTAGTATCTGCAGGTGCTTATCTTTCCTTCAGACATCCATGAGCATCAGTGCACCCAGCACATGACCCTCACAGCCTGCGGACGACGGTGATCTTTGAAATCCTTCCCATGAAGGTCTTTCATTGCTTTAATGTCTGTTCAATTATCATTTGTTGAATTCTCTAAATTATGCTAGATTTTAAAAATACATAATATATCTGGTAGTAACAATGTTTTATAAAATTAATAAGCTCAAGAATATTATTCAAATTTTACCCGTCCAATGTTTTTATATACTATTTCTTTACACATTATGCTAAATACATAAGAAAAAAATTCACTTGTACCTTAATTCTTCCTGATTATTGTGAGGTGGTGTTGGGAGAGATGCTGGAACATCGACTGTCTTTGGGCCTTGAGCAAGAGCTCTGGCCAGCAAGTCGTCCTGGGGCCGGAAGGGCAGTGGAAACGGCTTCGGTCCTAGAGCTTTGGTAACTGCAAAAGCCAATATATAAAACCATAAGTACATCTAGTGAAAGTTGATAAGCAGACAGCACTGGACAGTACTACTGTCACTGTACCAGACACAGCTGGTAAAGGTTCACTTATCATAGGTATAAAACGTTGAGGCACAATCGTACCTTCATGGCTCACCAACACTCCAGCTTTTCCAGCAAGTTCTTCAGTTGTTGCAAAACCATTTGCCATCTTCTGACAAGCCATAGGAGGTGGTGTAGGAGGAAGAGAGGCAGGGGGTGTTGGAGGATTACTTAAATTATTCTGCTGCAGGAGACCAAAAAATTTTAAATTATATGCTACTGAGCAAATATGCAACGAGCTTGCTAATACCTAGTTCTGTGAATTTTTAGCAAATAGAAGTAAGGCTACAAAAATGTACTCAAGTTGCATCTTCATTTCCAAATGCACACCAGGAAGAAAAATACACATATAAAGCTAGAAGGGGTTTTGCAAAACTACCACTTATGATTTTGTGGATACATTATGATCCATTTGCTTATTGGACCTGGAGCTTGAGTACTTAGCAATGAAGAAGCAAGTTTCCATTAGGTCTGAGACTATTGTATGCTACTCCTTTTCAGATTTCATGGTTATAACAATTAGTAAAAGACAGCTTTAAAACTCTAATAATAAATTGTAATAAGTTCTAAAAATTTATTTTATTAAATTCTCATAAAGATATGCCCTAGTTCTATGAAAAACTGAAGAATTTGTAATCCTAAACTTTAATTGCAACTTAAGATCTGATTGTTCAAGATCTTGTAAAAGAAAAGGCAAAAGGAGTAACAAAGTGCTATAAGGACCAAATATATTAACAGGTTTTTCAAACATCTCTCCCAGTTTAATATTTTCCACCAACTTGCCACTTATTGTTTATCATCTCAAGGAATGTTGGAATCTACCATAATGCCATGCAAATCAAAAGTAGAGTGGAATTATAAATCTTGCAAAGATATGGGATTTCATTAAGTTCATGAAGTAATGGTGATAAACATCTTGCACTGAGAGGGTTTGTAACTGAAGAACAGCCCACATGGACAGAAGAGGGAGCATGAGAGAAGTTTTCAAATATTAAAGTCAGAAGAGAAGACCTCAGGAAAATACTCTCAAACACTTTGCAAAAATGATCTTTTTAAATAAGTCAGATGTGAATTGAAGGTGTGTGTGAGATGCCATTATGAAACTGTTAGAAAAGTAATACCAAAAGATAAACTGATTTGGTTTTATAGTATTTTAATAGCCTAGCAACTAGTGTCAAAATTATCAGATAAAATGTATTTAGAACTTTTTAATTTCATTTTTCAAGGTAAAAGGCTAACTTTTTTTTTTTCCTTTTATTAAGTACTAGGGATTGAAACCATAGGTGCTTTACCACTGAGCTATATCCCCAATCCTTTTTATTTTTGAGACAGGGCCTTACTAAGTGCTTGGGTCTCACTAAGCTGCTGAGGCTGGCCTTGAATTTGTGATTCTCCCGCCTCAGCCTCCTGAGTTGCTGGCATTGCAGGTGTGTACCACCAAACCTGACCTTAACCACTTTTTAAAAATCCCAGTATTTACTAGGAATTTGAATTCATTTTATAATATAATAAAGGTTATAAGGAACCTGTATTTCCCTTACCATGGAAACTTTTAAAATTTGTATTCTTACCTACTGAAAATATCTTTTTGGGGGGGCTGGGGGTGGGAAGGAATCTGGTTCATTCAAAGCTGGCCCCAAAGACGACCAAGGAGTTAGCTCCAAGAGCTCTAACTTCAGGGGATTCAGAGGACTCCTATGGGAAGGTATAGGAGGCAGTGAGCCCTGGAGAAACTTTCAAGTATTCGTGTGAGAACTACCTCACCAGGCAAAATTCTTATCTGTTGGCTGTTTTTTAGATGTAAACTAGGTGCAAAACCAAGACACACTCCACCAACTGTGATAAGGCATCCAAAGATGAAGCAAGGCAACACCCTGGTGAAGAAACATACCTTGTAGATCAACTGAGAATAGTAGTCCGAAACCCCTTCAAGGGTGGCACTGCCAAAAGTTCCTAGAAGTCGATTCCCACTATTAAATTGGCCACTGCCATAAGGAAGAAAGTGCGCAAAGTTCACTCCAATGATCGGTTCCATTAGAGGGAGCAGAGAGAGCTGCTATTAAAAAACACATTTAAGAGTAATGTACATGATAAGCAAAACTGAGTGTTCCTCAACTTCCTAAGACCCGAAGCAATTTAGGCAAATAAGACGTGAGAAAAATGAGACTTAAAATTTTGAAGTATCAAAATGTTGGAGAGAGAAATAATGAGCTCCAAAATAAGCTCTGTTCTCATTTGTCCTAAAAGGATGTTACCAAGGTGTCTCAAGAAATACAGGTTCCTCCCCTTTGCTCGGCAAGAAATCAGGCCTGAGCTGAGGCTAGGCACCACCAGCAGCAGTCAGGAGCCATCTCCCTGCTCTGTAACCACCACAGATGCGGAAGAGTAGAGTTTAGATGAGCAGAGTCCTGTGGCTGCAGTCACAAGAAGTGAGGATAGTTTTTCCTGGTGCCAAGGCTGCTCCTGACCATCGCTTAACTGATCTGTCTACTGTGCTGTGAATTTCAGGGGCCAAGACGATAAGGTGCAATATTGCTTGGAAAGAGGAAATCTACTGGGTTTCTAGTCCAGATGTCCTTTATCCTTGTAGCTCTCTACTTTAATTTGGAAATCATCAAAATAAAGAGAAAGCTGGATTTCACAGGCTGAAAAGCACTTGCGCKCTCACTTCCTACAGGTTTTAAGGTGGCTGCTCTGAAAGACTCACCTGTTTCAGATGGGTGAAGGAGTCAGAGTTGGAGTACATGGTCTGCTTCTCCTCTTCATCCTTTTTCCTTTTCTTTGAGCGAGGTGCTGCCTTCTCCCCAGTCCTCTGAGTCCGTTTGCTTCGCTGTTTCTTGATTTCACTTCCTCCATCTGTTTTTGGCAACTGATTGTTGCCACATCCAAAATCACCTTGCATTTGAGCCCCCAAAGTTTGCTAATGTAATTGGAAAGTTAAAAGTAAGTGAACTATCAACACGTTTGAGTCTTAGTTTATGCCCAACCTGTTCAAATCTATGGATCTTATTCCTAACACAGTACCAAAATCTAGGGAGGGAAGACATATAGTGGTGCCAAAGGTTTTGACTATTTTCTGAAAATATCATTCCCTCTTTTTCAGGCATTATTCTCAAAGGTGAAAACAACCAGTTGCAGAGCTTGATGTCATATTTGCAATTAAGCTCTTCTTACAAATGAAAAACAAAAGCAAATCCAATGTTGATAACTTCAAATAAGTAGAATACTGACAGTGAGAAAACCACAATGAAACACTGTCGACATGTAAGATTATAGCTGTACAATATTAATTAGTGATGACAACATGGTTTCCAGAGTGGGTGATCCCTGAGCATTTGAGGACATTAACAGGGTTACAAGAGCCATCTTCCACATTTTAAAGAGGTTAATGGAAATTACATGCTTATTTAAAATCCAGGCACATTTATCTCCTTTCTTCAGTTAGATGAGCTCAGTGTGGTAACCAGCAGAAAGACATGTTATGCATGAAACTGCAAGCCATGTCTTTTTTTTTTTTTAAAAAAAAGTAAACAAAATATTACTTATTATTGTTTATAGGTTAAGTAAAAACACAGATTCCATGGAGATAGAAACAACAAAATATACAGTGGGTCTTTAGAGTTAAAAGGTTGCAGAACCATATTGAAAATGATAAGCCATTGGAATCCGGGATACGTATAATTTAAAACAAAACAAAACAAAACAAAAAGTAGTAGTTTTCATGATTCACACTTACCAATCCTTCCACTGGGTTCTGTGTGTCTACCAGTTTGTTATCCTTTGCACTGTTGTCTTCTGAACAGAAACTGCTCTCTGATCTCTGACTTAAAAGGGAAGAAGATTTTTTATTTTTCAACAAGTGTTTTAGAAGTTCATTCCCTGACTCTCCTTTGGTAACATGGACTCCAGCCAAATGGGGAGGACTCTGCACCAAGGAGACAGGACCAGCTGCAGTGCCTGCTTCCTTGCTACCAGTTTGCTCCTCCAATTTAGTGTCCTCTTGACCCGGGCATGGCTCTGATTCAGCTTTTTCCAGTTTCACTTCTTCACTTTTGGCAGGGGTTTCTATGGAGAGCTCATCCACCTCTGAATTTGCATAAGTCTGTGGTTTTGGAGCTCCTTGTGAGAAATCATTACTGGGAAGTCTGTTTTCCAACTCTGCACATGGCTGGGCTGCTGCCACACTGGCAGGTGAAGGGCCACCTGGCTGCCCTGTCTCCTCTCCCTGCTGAGGACGCTCACCAGGTGTACTTGCCGAGGGAGTGGAGGCAGTTTCTGAGATGCCTGGTGTTGGGGGAGCAGTCGTATCTGAGTGAGGAGTTGATGGTGCTTTGGTGGATTCTGCATCATCATCTTTCTTCTTCTTCCTTGTTCTGCGCTTCTTCCCTTTTTCTTCTGGGATTATATCAGAGTACAACTGAATGAGAGACTGAGTTGATCCCGGATAACTCTGTCCATGGGTTATGGTAGGGTCTGGGCCACAGGGGAGGCCGCTGTTTGCTACTGGAGGTGTTACTGGTAAAGCAGGGGTGAATGGGGGCCTCAATGGGGACTGCTGCAAGGTGGTTCCAGAAAGACTTCCATGCCCCTGCTTAACAGAATGGAAGCTGGGGCTTCCACTAGGAACAGACGGTGAATCAGGAACAAATGAGGGAGGTACCACCTGTCTCCGTTCATTGGTTTGAGTAAAATTTTGGGTGGGGGGTGAATTAACAGATCTGTGTTGTACATTCTGCTGCTGTAAAACCTGCCCCATCTGCTGTTGGTGTTGTGGAGACTGCTGAAGGGGTCGTGGAGGCTGCATAAAATCGCAAGGACGGTCGGAACCATAGAATGGAACCTGGTTCACAGATGTCCTGCAGGCCAGCTCAGAGCCCATCAGGCCATGCTGCTCCATTTCCATCCTCTGCTGCAAAGCTCTCTGTCTGTCTACTTCTTGCATCAACTGGATTCTTTGTCTTTCCTGCTGTTCTCGTAAACGTTCCTTCCGCTCCCGTTCTTGAAAACTTTCACTGAAAGGGTTGTTATCATCAAATTCGACTCGTGGTGGTGGCCCACTCTGTGGGTTTGCATTGGACACTGTACCTGGGGCTGATGTGCAAGGTTTCATTGGTATTTGGGCAATTGGGGGCTGAATCCGAGGAGGATTAAGGGGCAGGTGAGCAGGAGCATTGGTAGGTTGCCAGCCAGGTAAACTGGGCATTCGAGCAGGGCTAGCGTGGCCAGGGATGACCGCTGTGTGCTGCTGGTGCTGCAGCTGCTGCGGCACTATGGGGAAGTTAGGTTGGCTCATGGTGGGTGGAGTGGCGCCTGGAACCAGGGGTGGTTGGGGCTGGACACCAGGCATTAGGATGGGGGGTCCCAGTGCACACTGCTGCTGCTGCTGCTGTTTGATCCGATAATCTTCAATCAACTCAGCATGCTCTTTCTGTTGTTTACGAATCTGAAATAAGTATTAAGTAAGTTATATATCATTTAAGCTACCCATTGAAAAGATAAAACAATGCACACAGTTATACAGGAAGCAGCTAATTTATAAGGCCTTAGAAATTACACAAATATATAAGGTCAGAATAACTGAGATTTAACTCGAATTTAAATTTTTAAAACATTTTTTTTAGTTGTARTTGGACATAATACTTTTAATTTATTTATTTTTATGTGGTGCTGAGGATCAAACTCAGTGCCTTTCATGTGCTAGGCGAGTGCTCTACCACTGAGCCACAACCCCAGCACCTCAAATTTTAACTTTTTAAACATTAAAATTTTGCTTCTTAAATATGCAAAATAGTACATTTTAAACAAAATGAACTACTAGCATGTATGCCACGATCCTCCCTGAGATGTAGGAAGACTGTAGGCATGCCCTAGCTCTCTCCTTTTACCTCGACCCTTGAATGCAAAATAGGTCATCAATACGTCTATTATAATATGAAAATTCAGACAGGGTTCTTGCAATTGCCATGTTTGCTCACCAGAAATGCAGCCTCAACCTGCGCACCAATGTTCCCGTCTGTACGTGAAGGGCACAGGCCTCGTTAAGTTGGACTAAGTGATCTTCCTTGAGTGGACTGCTCAAGGCAGTCACTCAATGAAAGAGACCATGCTAGCTCTTTGTACATAAAACAAAATTTTAAAAAAACCTCCAAACAATACCCTATCCAAAAACTAGATTTATAACATTCTTTGTATTTGATGGATACCATACTCAAAATCATAATTTTTGAAACCTATACAAGCTCTGAGATAATATTGTCAATTGTTTCTAATCAGGCTCTAAGTAATGACTAATGTCAATTCAATCATTCCAAAAATGTTTGTGCCTCAATGCGCCAAGTACTAGGACAAAATATCAGTCAAATAGTAGTCCATCTTTCTGTGGACCTTGACATGAGGAAGGTAGGGAAAGAAGGAATGCAAAATATTGTTATGTATCTTTCAAAATCACTTGATTTTCAATAAATATTATACTGATTGATATACTGAACAAGGCTGAACAGGATGAGATGCCAGGGTGCTTTCCAAGTGCCCCTAACAGTCGTTTTTCAACTTTCAATTTCTTATGTTTCCCAGCCAGACCAACGTCTTCTATAAGTAAGGGTGTTTGGTCTTTTCTTTAGTAGCTGTGTGACTTCTCATTTCTTGTCCTTGTCTTTTCTACCCAGTTTACCAGTGAGAACTGAGGCACTGCACTGCACTGATGGCAGAGGTACACAGCACCTGAAATAGCATCTACCCTAGGATGATTTCTATGCACATAAACACATGTCTTTCCTCTGGCATTTCTGACTACTTTTAAAAACTTTACTATCAACCACCTTTGTTACCTTTGTTTCTGAGATCAGGCTGGGTCATAGGCAACTATGTTGTAACAATGTGTCTCACTTTTCAAATTAAGTGCAGTATTAACTTCTATAGAGGATCTGATCTATGGGGATATGTGCAAAAACTAGGCCCTTGACAAAAACATCTCATACAGATACAGCAAAGTCAGTAAAAGTGCTAAATATACTTAATTATGAAATTATCTACTTTTAAAAGAACATTTACCCACACTAAATATTTAAGTTTAAAATGTAAAAAGATAAGAAGCTTCATTTTATAATGGTTCTAGTTTTAAACTATAGCAATATTATAATCACCTGCCACTGGTATGTTATTTTGGTAGCTATGGCTTGCAGGGGAGACTGGAGTCCAAAGCCATAAAAAAAAATAGTTAGCTACCTGCAACACATCACCGGAAACTGGACTGACTCAGCAGTTCTCGTCAGGAAAATGTGCCAGTATTATTTCCAGAAGTAGAAAACAGGGCTGAACGTGATGAGATGCAGGGTATTTCCCAAGTGCTCCTAACACAGCAGCATTCCAACTCTGCTGAGTCAGTATACTCTGCCCCCTTCTAGCACTAACACACCTGGCTTTCTTTAAAATTGTAATGTAAACATTATGATTGACAAATTAGAGGCAGAGTTTAATCTTTGATGTATAAATCTAAGAACTTTAACACATATGGAATTAATATCACCATCATCACAATCAAGACAGAGACGCAATCCATGACTCCTGAAAACTCCATTATGCCACTTATTTATATCATATACTCTTCCATCCCTCACCCATGGCCATCGTTCGGCTATTATTCATCTTTATAATTCTATAATTTCAAGAAAGTAATGCAATTAGAACCAGTACATAAACCTTTTTGGATTTCCTCAGCATAATGCTCTTGAGATTCAAGTTGACTGCATCTATCAGAAGCTCAACTGTTAACATTGTGTGGATTCCACTGTATGGGGTACCACACTTTAACCTTTCATCTTTGGGGTGGGGGTCATTTTTTTGAGATGTGGGTCTTTCTATGTTGCCCACACTGGTCTTGAACTCACAGGCTCAAGAGATGCTCCTACCTCAGCCACCTGAGTGGTGGGAGCTAAACAGGTACCAATGTGACCAGCCAATCATTCCAGTTTTCAATGAATATAAATATTCATGTAGAGGTTTTTGCGCAAACCTAAGGGTGTTTTTCTTTTTTTTTGGGGGGGGGGCTTGGGTAAATACCTAGGTGTGTGCTCTAAAATCACTGTGAATACTTTGTTTTAAAAAGAATTTTCCTTTTCAGTATAATTATTCAGCTTTAATATCTTAAGAAATTTCTGGTGTATAATGCAAGATAAGAGCAAAAAGGATTCATTTTTCAAAACTGAGTCATTTACATAAGATATACCAATGTATTTTAAAACCAAAACACTAAGAAAAAAATAATTTAAAAAGCATAAGGAACCACCAGAACAATTCAAATGTTGTATCTGAAGTTCCACTGGAAACCAAGGAATCCAAGGTAGTAAAAAAAAAGGTCAACGCCTACAGAAAGCATACTTCTCATCCCTAATTCTGCTTCCATCTAGAATCTCCCTGTGAACCATGTTCTCAAAAAAGTCACATGCTGTAGCCAGGAATAGGGCATAGCTTGTGATCCCAGAAACTGAGAAGTCAAGGCAGGAGGATCCCAAGTTCAAGGCCAGCCTCAGCAACTTATMAYAAACCTGTCTCAGAATAAAAATAAAGAAAGGCTGCAGGTATAGCTCAGTAGTAAAGCACCCTTGAGTTAAATATCCACSAACAACCCCACCAAACACACACACCAAAGACTCTTAGATGACACAGGAGCGTAGCGTGATTTCTTAGTGCAGAGGAAATAATGGAATTTCTTTGAAGATCCTAGGGTTGCTAAAAATATAAAAATAGTTCTTCTAAATCAGAACTATGAAAACTGATCTCTCCATGGCAGTTAGTACCTATGTGCTCGGATGGCCACTCTCAGGAGAGGACTGGGGTTGTTATGGCTGTGGTTAATAAGCAGTGCCCAGGCAATGTACTTACACATGACATTTAATACCAACCAGGACCCTGCGCTCCCAGTGAGCCACACATCACACATCACTCTGGAGCTGAGGGCTTCCATCCAACAACCTATCTGTTACCTGCTCCAGCTGCTTCTGAACCATGCTTTGCTGCTCAGTAACGTGCTTGAGCTGCTCTGCATCCTCTTCTGGGAATTCTCGCCCTGCCTTCTTGGCAGTGCGCTGTTTAGCTGAAAGGGCCTTCTTAGATTTTCTATGTGCACCAATTTGTTCTTCAAGATACTTCTGCTGCATCTGAAGAAGCTGCTGGGTCTCCTGAAGCCATTCTTCATACTGTTTACGTTGTGAGTCATCTGAGGGAAAAATAAAAAATTCATCTGTGTTTATTTTCTAAAGGGCCCGAGATTATCATCAAGAGTTACACAAATCTATTTTGTAAGGAAATACAGTTTCATCATAATCATTTAATAGAAAATTTGAAAACAGGATTCTAAATATTAGACTATTATGTAATTATAAAGTAGAAGAGTTTAGAAAAACATTTAATGAAGGAAACCAGAAAATACATACTTAGGACACTGGTTAAGTTAATACTTATAAATACTACAAAACATAATCGTAGAAATGAAATGCTTTCTACCTACAAGACTATCAAATGATCTAACCCAAAAGTCAAACAATAAGTTATATGTTTATGAATTCAACTTTACCAATTTTGAAGAGACAAAGTAAGTCTGTCCTATTAAGGTCTAGAGAATGAACCAGGTAATCATTTCCCATTGAATTTCCCTTAATTTATAAAGCTTGCCCTCTTCCTTACTAGTGAAAAAAATAAACAAAACYGGGGTGGCGGGGGGATTCATAATATTGGATCCAATGTGAAGGACCAATGTGAAACCTACTTTTTATAAAGGACATCCATAAATTGAAAATGCTGGTAATTTGTTTTATAGATTTTGTAACTTACATCTCTATAAATAAGGGGAGGGAACAGTTAAGCAAGTAAAATCTTTTCTACTCCTAGGATTGCGGCTGTATCTCCCCAGACAGTCACTTCTCTTCCTCTTGCACCAACACTCCCCTCCTCACTTTCTAAGGGCACTTTACTCCATTGATGCCAACCCCACCCCACCCCCAAAAAAGTGTAGGGGGTCATCTCATGTAGTGAAAAATTGTGAGTATACCTCTTTGACTCACAGCAAGACAAAGAAAGAAATACAATCCTAGAAGGACATCTGAAAATAACATCAATGATAACAATATCATCATACATTAAGAATCCAACCAAAGCCAATGGGCACAATAAAGCCAGAAAAAGCCAGTTGGTTACAGTAGTTGTTTTTAATGCAAATATGTATTCAAATTATAATCATAATTAGTGCAGGGGAATTCCAAAAGGTCAAACTTTGGGTTTGTTCCTAAACCCAGAAGTTCCAGCACATGTATGAACTTGAAATCTAGTCTATAAAATTTGAAGGGCATTTTTCAAGAACAGGCTTTTTCACAAGGTTTCAGAAGTTCTGCTTCTGGTAGAATGAGACCTACCGCAAGGAAAGCCTTTCTGGTTTCTGGAACCAGGAGAGCAGAGGTGAGCAAAAATGAAAGATAATGGTGAAAAAAGTTAGCTAAACAGTCTGAAGATTTCAAAAGGTTCAGTTTGGGCAGAACTTTTAAATACTATTCTGAACCACCTTGGGACCCCTGAGGTTAACTAGAAAGGACTCAGGGGCATCCTGCTTACTTGACCTTCACACCATGCTGCAAACTAGCTTCTCTCTGAGCATACGCCCTTTGTCTTTCCCAGTTAGCATCCCTGTCACTTAGGTAGACTGTCATGAGAGCAAATGGTGTTCTAATTCTACAGACTGTAAAGTGCCCAATCTACAAATAAAAACAGCAACAACAGTTTTGAAGAGAATGGGGAAGATGACTTTTCTGTATTAAAATACGTATTTCTAATTCTTCATGCACGGTGAAAAAAAGCAACGAAAATACATGCCTTGCAGAAGACAACCCTAACAGGGAGGGATGCCTGTTAAAAAAGGAGAACCTCAGGTGAAGGCAGCACTCCTAAACTAACTCCAACTGCTCAGAACAGCACAAACACAAGTCAAACAAGCAACCCCAGAAAACATGTGACTTATTAGATTTATACTTACTGACAAAGCCTGGACCAAAATTTGGAGGATTAGGCCTAGAAATCTGATGTGTTATACTGCCATCCTAAAATAAGTAAAATTTACAAATATGTTTAATTCCACACTTCAGATAAAGGGAAAAGAAAAAACTTTATAAAAAGAAGGAAAAAAAAAAAGAAAGAAAGAAAAACGAAAGAAAAATAGAAAAAAAATAAACCCTTTAATTTTCTAAAATATCTTTAGTTTTGATTTTTATAAAAATTAAGAAAAATTAGTGGGGTGATGATCTAAATTATGAAATTTTATTTTATGTCTCTGTTCTATTATATTTGCATGATTTCAGATAAAAATAATTATGTTTGAGATAAACAATTATATAAGAAATATAATATTAGCATAAATCCAATACTGCTAGTACTAGGTGAGAGATCCATAGAAAACCTCACTTCTTAATTAAGTCTACTTAATTTCTTCTATCATTGAATTGATAAACACACGTTCCACATTTTTAAACATCAGTCCATAGCACAGTTATTTACAAGAACTAATGTTCTTACATACAAATAGTAACAGAGAAATTCACTAATAGAAATGTCTTATTTTATAAATAAATATCTTGTTTCTTTGAAGGTGAGTGTTATTCTAATAATTCCTAGGCAACCACCTGATTAATAAAATGGATTTTGAAAAACTGTTTACATGATTGTCACAAGTTCTGCTAGACACAAACTGTACAAATAGTCACAATTATAAATGATACTAAGCAGCCACAATGCACAAAGTGCAATCTTTGTAACACTGCAATGAGGTTGGCATGACATTTGACAGAGCAGAAGAGAGATTAAAAAACTTGCCCCAAGTTGCAGAGTAAATTCAGAGTTGGTTTTTAAAAATTTAATCTATGCTATTTCCAATGTATCAAATGGTGTCTCCTTTTAATAAGGAAAAAAGATATAATCAACAGCATAAATAAGTGCAACTGGCAGAGTAAAAAGAAAAATTCCCAAAGGACATACAGTAGGTAGCTCTTGTTTTCCAGGTAGATACATTTAACCAAAAACAAAACAAAACAAAACAAAAAAAAAAAACACAAAACAAACAAACAAAAAAACACCACTATAGAAATACCACATGAAAGGAGGAATTCCACTTCTCGAGAAACTACCTAACAGCAAGAATACAAAATAAATATTCATGCTTCAAGCTTATTTTAAACAGAGCATATCCTCAGAACGAAGTCATGCTAAGGAAAATATGAAACACAACCACCCATGTCAAAACAGAATGATTCTGCTCTTTTGTTGCTACTGTTTTACATTCTAAACATAATAGATTCATTCCAAAATTCGTCTTCCGGGGGCAATAAATGTATGCATGTATGTATGTAAAACCAGATGCCCTAGTCATTTGGTTTCCTGCCAGGTGACTTTCTACCCTTAAGTGTAGGCCCTTTCCAGAAATTACATTCAATGTTTTTAACCTCAACTTGTTTTCTGTTCTAAAAGCAGTTTAACCCCTCCATTTCTGCTGTACTGACAGTACAAACAGGCAGGGCCCTAGGCTACCCTCCTGTGAGGAGTGGCCTTACTGTGAGATGGGTTTGGTGGGAATCAGGACAGTGTACCCTCCAGAGTGACACATGAGCAGGGTTACCTGGGCAACAGCCTGAGGAACCAGGTTCTGTCCTTCACTGCCCTGTGCTCCAGCCACTGGTGGGCCCATGAAGGGGAACCTGTAAGAAAAAAAAAAACCCACTATGTGTCAAACGATGAGCTTCTCAAACTAAAACTTGTTTCAGGTGCCCAAGAATGTTCTTCTCCAGGGAAGGAAGAATTGTGGCAATGTGTCCCTGTCAAGAGGCCTCATAAGCTCCATTTTCTGTGTATCCAGCAGAACCTTCTCCACTTCACTATCTGTGAACCTGGGTGATTGTTACTCTAACAGCATCTGGGGATAGTTTCAGGGAGGCTGTGGAGAAAAGCCAGCTAAACTAATTCCAGAGGCTGGATTCTGATACGTGACTCTAATTTAATTGAATTCAAGCCTTTAGGCATAAAAATAGAGCAAAGATTCAGCTTTATTACATAAACTAAGGACATTTTTTTCCTTTTCTAATTTTTATTAAAAATTAATTAGCAGCTTATCTATTTATATCCTAAAACAAAAAATTTTACTCAAAAGTTCATATATTTTCAGTAGATATATTTCTGTATTTACTGAAAAAGCCATTTAACAATTGGTGACTGACCAATACAGTGAAATGTCCCTTACTCAAATTAGACTGATAAGCCTTCCACAGAAACATATGGCCTATATGAAAACATTTCCTCCAGAGTTATTGAGAGTGCTTTAACATATCAAGATACACACATAGCACAAACACATTTCAAAACACACTCTAAACACTGCGGCATTTAGGTAGTACTGAAGTTTAGAATGTGCATTTTTGATTTCTGACTCAGGGCTGTGAATCACTCACCACCCCTTCTGTGACTACAGCTTTGTCTAAAATGGTACTCAATCCAGACTTAGGTATCTGCATCCTTATGCAACTACCATACTACTCTCAAAGGGTCCATCATGTCCATTTCTGTGAAGCACTCAGGAGAACAGTAACTAAACATTGAGCACACAAGCACATGCTTAACTGGTAGAAAGATGATACTGAATGGGCATCAGATGCTGGAAGACTTCCGACTCTGAGGCTTGCATTTAAAATGTTCTGAGAAGAAATCCAAAAGTTTCACTAGAATGCCAAGCAGTCTCAAGACAAAAAGGTTAAGAACCCTTGTGATGGAGGAGCAGTGCTAATTAACACTGCTCAGCATTGAAAGTCACTAGATACCACTACCTTTACTTTGATCCCAAGAATGTTAATCATGTCCAGAGTATCCACAGGGGTGTGTGTGTGTGTGTGTGTGTGTGTGTGTATTTATATTTTTTTGGGGGGGGTGCTGGGGATTAAACCTAGGGCCTTGTATATGTGAGGCAAGCACTCTACCAAGTAAGCTATATCCCTAGCCCCAAAAACTATATTAAGGATTCAAATTTCTCTGAAGTATCATCTTTTTCTTAAATCTATGCAATTTTATGTTCGATTCCATAATTATATTCCCTTTAATAAAAATTTTTCAACAAGATTATTAGGCTAAACTGAGCCTCTCTGCTTGCTGTACTGACAGGTTCTCAAACAACAATTCACAGTGTTCACTGGAAATGGAAATATGCAGCACCATCCCTAGATGTTCTCACTCAGTAGGTCTGCAGTTGAACAAAGAACCTGCATTTTCAAAAAACTACAACAAAAAGCCACGTAATTCTGACAGTGGTTCATGATCAAAATATAAGAAATATGGCCTTGTAGTCGTACTTATTCTACTTTCACAATTACGCTAACAACACTTAGAGCAACCTTTAATGCATAATTCCCTTTTTACTGCTGTGCATGAAAACTTATGAAATCTTCAAGTCCTAGCATTTTCATCAGTTCTTGACTTTCTCTTCTGGTTCAAAATCAGTTTGGTGATATTTTTAGAGCTGAATTCACAATTGCCTTAATCAACGCTTTTATGTTAACTGAAAAATTTTTAGTAAGCACTGCTAATGAAACAAAACAACCCCCCCCCCCCCGCAATTTGTATTTACCCTACCTAAAATTAATGGAGATTCTTTATACGTGTACAGCTCTTTCTCACCGTATCCCACAGTATCAAAAACACTGTTCATTTCTGGAAAGCGAGCGAGTCTCGCATGTTCTTTCCAGGACTAGCACCAACCACATGCAGTTCAGACACCCATGGGACGTGCACCTGAACCTACCTGCTCATCACCATTGGTGGCATGCCTAGAGTGCTCTGTGCCATCACTTTGTTTATGCCTTTGAGGGCCACCATTTTGGCTTTCATTATAGGATCTGTAATTGCATCGAAATCTAAAGAAAAAAATATATTTTAAAAGTTACTTACTTCATAGTACTTGGCTCAACGTACATTAAATGACATGTAAGTACAACAAACATTGTGCAATTTACAGATCTCCATACCACCTTATTATTATTTAATAATCAGTACAGGTTTTTATACTAGATGAGGGGATTATGAGATCGTTAACAACCTTATTCTGAATTTGATTACACTTCAGTAATCCATAATTGAAGCACACTTTAACACTCAGTCCTGCAGCAACTAAATAAAGAAGTCTATTGAGTCTAAGAGAGAGCATAGCAAAAATGTTCAGCAATACAAGTCCCTCCCACCCAAACTTCTGCAATGCTGGTCAGGATGGTTTACCACTGTAGCTTCAGGAATAAGAACCCGCAGATATTTAAATACTAAGAAATAAATCGGTCTTCTCTCTTTAAAAGAAAAATGTATAAATTCCTTGAGGTCAGCCCTCAAAAGTATTGGGAGGCTACCAAGAAATATCTTTTTGTATATAAATGGAGAAAAGGAGCTCCATGACAAAATTGGTAGCACATACAGGGTAGCACATGTTCTTCACTTAGGAGAAGCAACCCTCAGGCAAGTGCCTTCTGTGGACTGATTACACTCTGGAGCACTGACGTCTTGATATTAGTAAACCAATAGAGATAAGTTAAATAGGGCTATGGGAAAAAACTACCAAGAATTTACTATGTGCAAAAGGATAGCAGAAAGCTTTATTTCTATAATAATTTCCTTAAATTCATTATTCCATGATTGAAAATACACAGCAGCAATAGGGTGACAGGTAGAACAAGGATCACAACTCTAAGTTTTCAATCTCTTGATTTACCTGGAAGGAATCTAAAGCTTGTAATTGTTTTCTGCTTAAAGTTCAGGAGGAACAGAGAAATTCTCAGTGCTCTATTCAGAATGTAATTTCAATAATGAAATGTTCCAAGCATATTGCAGGTCATCCTAATGCCCACAGGAATCTATTTTAAGACACAAGGGAATGCCTACCAATATTAGGAAAGAATGGTTCTGAGCGCTGCCGAATCATGGCTTGCATCTGTCTTTGCTGCTGCTGTTCTTGCCGCTCCTGATCCAGAAGATCTTGTAGAAGCAGGGGCTGCTCTTCAAGGAGGAGGGGCCTCTCTCTATTCTGCTGGGCTAATGTTTGAGGAATCATAAGCTGCTGGGGTCCTGATATGCCACTGGGACCAGACTGACTTGTGAGAGGCACAGTCTGATTTGCAGGTTTTCCTGTCCCCAAATTGTGGTTAACTGATGACTGACCTGGAATAAATCCTGGATTTACCTGTACCCCCTGAGGAAAAGCATGGTTCACCCTGGAGACCACAGTCACATTAGAATTCACAGCATTATCCAGAACAGGGCCAGGTGGTGCCACTAAAGTAGGAGGCAGGCTCGACACACGACTGGAGGGTGAGGCTGGCAGCGTTGGTGGGGGAGACCCCAAAGACCTCATGTCCAAATTATCAGATTTTTCATGAGCAAGCAAACTTGAGAGAACTGGAGTTGATCCAGTGATGTCACAAGAGTTCACCACATCTTGAGCTGGCAGTGACGCAGATCCTTGGATAACACTTGCACTGGAGCCAGCAGTTTCTTGATTACTTCTTTTCTCAAGTAGGTCTGAATCAGAAGATGGCAAAGGATTCTTTTCCCCATCATTCAGGTCTGTGTGAGCAGAAGCTTGGGGGCTGGGAGTAACCAGAGCATCTTTAGCCTCATCGCTTTGCTCAGTTTCACATTTGGTTTCCTCTTTAGAATTTGGAGATAGGACTTCTGTTTTTATCTCATTGGTGACAATGGATTTTTTCTGTGGCAAATGGTTGTCAGAAAGAACCACAGCTTTGTCTTCTTGCTCCTTTTTTTTTGGTTCAGATACACACTGATTATCTAATTTATCATCAATTGGAACATTAAGGTCTAGTTCCTCATTAAACATACTCTTCTTATCTCCTAGGTCAAGTTCTGGATCTGTGTATGCAATGATATCAAACTCTCCTGACCTTAAGAGATCATCCAGGTTGGGATCATTAGTTTCCAAATTATCTAAAGTATCCAATTCATCTCCTTTGGCATCCTCTGGATCTAAATTTAAATTTTCAAGATCTTCATCATCCAAATCTTTGACTTCAACCCCCTCAAGGTCTTTAACATCCAGTTCTTTCACAGAAGGGTCATCAGAATCAAGTTTTTCCTCCAAACCATCAGAAGACCGACTGGCCATCTGTACATTACCAGATGCTCTTTCAGCTGTCACAGTTGCTGTCAAGGGAGCCTCAGAATACCCTCCACCCAAGGAATGACCCAGAGGTCTCATGACCACAGAAGACGGATGGGCAGGGTGGCCCTGTTCCTGCTGAGGTGGAGGCACTGGCTCCAAATCTGGATGCACAGGGAGCTGATGAGGTAGACCCTGGGGAGGTCGTCTCATGGAGTCTGTGTGTCTTGGGCCTGGGAAGTCTGGACGAGGAATGAAGTTTCCATGTCTGGGATGAGAAGGTGGCTCTATAACATTGCCAGAAGCAGGGAAGGGCAGTCGTGGTCTTCCATCTGGGGCCCTATGCCTCAATTCAATAAATGCCTGGCCCAGTATATTATGCTGCTGAACTGGCAGGTTCTGTGGTGGAAAATGCTGAGGAAGTCCAACCGGATTATTCATCTGCGAGTTATTTAAAGGTCCAGCCATTTCTACAGACATTGATCTTCTCAGATGTGGAGGAACTCCAGCTCCTGCTATTTGTGAAGGAGGCACTAGGAATCGGTCCTGACTGGATACGGTACCATGACTCCCTCCTGGAAATCCAAATCTAAAAAAAAGGGAGGGGGGCAAATATTTCAGTATTTTCTTGAATTCCGAATTGGGTTGAGAAAAGAAAGTTTTGGAATACCATTGCTACATGCAATGATTTAGCAAAATGTCACTGACAACTTAAAAAGTACTTGTAAGTACCCATATGCAGTAAGGTTTGCTAAACTCCCTACAATAAATGCTTCTCTCTATTAGATCATGTAAACCCAGGAACAGCCAGCCACCAAGCATATGGAGATCCACCATTTAGAAATAAGAATGAAAATGTTTGTGGAGAGTGTAGTTTTTTCCTGTAGGAAAAAGGACAAAAGGTAGACAAAAATGGGGAAGTAAGGGTGAGCATGCAACACAGAGACATAGTACAAGATTAAATCACATTTCTCCCAAAAATTACATCTTAAATAACCCTTTCCTCATTATAACTAGGGCGTTAGTCTAGATAGACCTAGTAGCCACTTTAAAAAAGGAAACATGGTCATGATTCATTTCTGCTACCTTCACAACCCAACCTTGTCATGGTAAGTTCCTAAAGAGAAACATCCTTTCTTTAGAACTCTGTTCCACCAATATTTTGCACCTTAAATGAAATGAAAAGAATAAAAAGGTGCTGAGTGCACAAGTCTCCTCACTTGTCACATCAAAAAAGGTTCTGCCTGCATGTAGCAGCTACATTTTGGGGGATACTGACTACTATGATGGGCTACATCAATATGGCTGTAAGTCCTAGAGATAATACTTAGTCATGAAGGGACTGTGCTTAAGCCATTTAGAGTTTTTTGAGAAGGGAGAAAGTCCCTGACCTCTCGTTTGTGGAAAATAACATTGATTTATGTGAGAGGGGAGAAAGAAGTAGAAAGTGTTAACAGCTTATTGGTTAATACCAACTCCATTTGTCTAGTTACTTCTAACAGCAATTTAAATCAAGGCAGAAAATTAAAAGCACTACCTAAATCCATGTGGCCTCATCCCCATACCAGGAACATCAGGAGGATAGGGCGCACGCTGATCTTTGGGGAAAATAGCATATCTAGGTCCGACAGGAGGGACAACAGGTGATCGAATGTTCCCAGGATAAGGGGGTGGAGGCCGAGTGAAAGCCTGGTTGATACTCTCTGGTTGCCAGTGAGGAAGGGGCACCGGGGCAGGCACTCCAGGTGCATCCTGAGGCCCCTTCTCCTGTCGACTAGCAATCTTCTTTTGCTGCTGCTGCTGCAGGATGATTTCACGCAGTTTCTGCCGCTAAATGCAAAGAAACAAAAATCACTGGGATTTCCAGTAACTAGTGGTTTTTAACACCATAATGTTTTCATTATGGGGCAATGGTAATATTTAAAATGTCTAAATGTTTCAAAGTTTGATAAAAACACATATTTAATTACTTGATACACTATAAAAACCAAATTAGTCATTTGGTTCCATTTGCCATTCAGCTATCATGAAACTTCCAGCTTTCATATAAAAATATTCTTTAACAAATTCATAAAGACTGAAATTAGATACGATTAAATGTAATTCAACTGGTGTTAATTTTACGAATTTTATTTTTCTTCTTTGTATTACAAAAACAATAACATTAAATAAAATTAACACTTGTATAGAAATTACCATTTGATTAAATGAATGGCTTCCACAAAAGATACATTTAAGGCATTGAAAACGTGTGCCATGATTACCTGTCTCAGCTTCTCTGCATCTGCTTGAGACATATTTACAGTGTTCTGTGTGTCAGTTCCCCCAGAAGTTGGTGCAGGTCCAGCAACCTGGGAGACACCAGAGAACTGCTGGCCTTGGGAACTCATGGGAGAGTCTACAGATGTGCTGAAGCTTCCCTCTGACCCAGGCCCCGGCTGGTCAGCAACATCACGAGTAACTTGACCAGTTCCAAAAGAGTCAGACTGAGGCCTTGGAGTCATCGGAGGTTGATCATAGGGATCTCGAACAGCAGATGGGGAAACACGGCTGAATGAGTCTGCAAGGCCAGGTCCAGGTGGCCTAGGTGTTTGGGAACATGTATCAGGTGGCCTTACCAAAGGGCCAGGTAAGGCTGGTGCTCTGTGTTGTGCTGCTTGCAGGAAAGGATCCTGATTTGATATGAGGGCTGGTCTTGTACCTGAGGACCTAGTAAAACCCTCTGAAGTCCTTGGTCTTGGTGTTGCTGGTGGCTGAGAGTAGGGAACAGAAATTCCAGGTCTTGGTGTTCCAGGAGGATGAGTATACGGATCAGAGTGCCTTTGATTAGCTGCAGGTGCAACAAACACTTCTGTCTGTGCAGATGGCCTGGGGGTTGGTGGCTGCTGAGTATATGGGTCAATGGTGGTAGGCCGAGGAGTTCCAGGAGGTTGAGAATAAGGGTCTGCATTGGACCGAGCAGTTCCTGAGGGTTGGGAATAAGAATCTACAGGTCGTGGAGTTCCTGGGGACTGGGAATACAGGTCCTGAGATGCTGACCTTGATATGGTTCCAGGCTGAGAAAAAGCCCTTGAAGAATGGGGAAAAGATTCATTCACTGCTGGATGTGGAGTTAAGGGAGGCTGGCTATATGGATCATTTGACTGACTATGAGAAAAATTATCTACAGGTCTTGGTGTCAAGGCAGGCCTTTCATAAGGGTCGACAGACAGTCGCCTTGATGCCTGGGACACTGACCCATAAGGATCCTGAGAGGATGGAGGAGGGTGCAGTGGAGTCTTAAAAGGTCCAGGACCACTATCAAGCGGTGTCGGTGTCAGCAAAGGTCGTGCATACGGGTCAGGTACCCGTGGTCTTTGAAACGTATCCGCCCTAGGGGAGGGTTTAGTAAAGTGATCACTGGTTCCACCTGCTGGAGGACCTCTTGCAGTTTGTTCTGAAACTACAGGAGACCGGGATGGGCCCAAAGGTTTGGGAAACTGATCTGTCATTAAAGGCCTAGGGGTGTCTGGAGGTTTTGCATAGGGGTCACTAATTGTTGTAGAGGAAGAACACAGATCTCTGGCTGGGGGTGGCCTACTGGCTGTGGTCTCACTCATCTGAATGGGCCTTGGTACGGATGATAAAGGCACAGAGTTTTCCACCGGTGTGACAGAATTTCTTCTGGGAAAGCTATGGCCCCCAGGAGGGGGTCTAGGGGTACCAACCATTTTTGCATAAGGATCCAATGGAGATGGTGGTCGGGAGCTAGAAGACCCAGGAGAAAACATTTGTGGAGAAGGTGGCTGAGAAGTCTGAGACTGAGAAAGACTCTCCTGAATGGGTACCCGAGATGGGGCTGGAGGAGGGGGTGGAGCTTGTGGCTTGACAAACACATCATCTGAAGGTGTGGAAGCAGGGATACCAGGCAGCTGTTTTGAGAACAGGTCTTTATGGAATGCCTGTGCAGGAGACATGTTTCCATTGCCAGGCTGAGGTGTCAAGGGACTTTGGACCCCACTGCTTGGAGTATCAGACCCAGATGGCACCAGAAGGTGCTGGGAACTAAGCTGCTGCTGTTGCTGCTGCTGCTGCTGCTGCTGCTGCTGCTGCTGCTGCTCATTTTTAACTTGTTCCAATTTTTGTGTGGCTTCGATCTTAGCTTGCTGCTTACTTTTCTGACGCATTTGCTATTAAAACAAGATAGAAAAAGCAATCACATGTTAAGAATAAAATAATTATCACAGGTAGAAAAGGCAATAGGAAATTAATTTGTTTGAGGTCAATAGCTACCAGATTGCTTCCATATTMGACTGTATAGTCCTAGAGAAGAGATGATTATTCATCAGAGGATTCCCAATTTTGCCTAGGGCAATCTATTATTTATAATATTTCAATAAACTTCTCAAATCAATTTAAATATATTTTACCAAAAAAGGTAAAAATGTTCTACTAAGAAGTAAATACCTCACTTCTCAAAGAACAAAAATGCAATTTAAAAAAGAAAATCATCTCCAAACCTCATACCTGTCTAAATTTCCATTCCTGTTCATGTTCTGATTCTCTTTGTTTTAATGGATCTTTAAAAAGATCTGAATCGATGCGAGAGCTGGGATCGATGCAATCTTGCTGCTGCTGCCTTTTCATGGAATCATTAGACATCTGGACTTTATTAATACGTAAAGCAGCTCTGTTATCTCTGGCTTTTTGCTTTGACAAAAAGAGAAAAATGTTATTTTCCAGTATATGTCAATGTGGTTACTCAGGAATAAAAATAAAACTATGCTGAACTTTACCATACAAAAGCAAGAAAAAGTTGGGTTAAGTACTCAAAAATAGTTGAATATTATCCTATAGAACTTACAGCCTCTCCTAAGAAAGGTTTTGGACATTAGCCCACCTTCTCTATTTATAGCACATGTCCTTGTTATCAGTTTAAGATGTTTCTATCTATTTATCTGAAAAAGCCTAGGAGATCCCAGGTGTAATCTAGTATTTTTCTTTCTAATACTCTTAAATATCCTTAGAAAATGAAAGAATTAACATGTCCATCAATTTAGAGGAAAGGAAAATTGGTCCACGCGATAGAAAATCTGTATATTTGAAACTTACCATTACATAAAATTACAGAGAAACATTAAAAATACCTTGTCATTGCCTTACTAAATCCAAGGTAAAACAATCTAATCTAATCCAATAAGAAAAACATATACACACACTTATAGGTGTATGAACATTATTAAATAAACACATGGATATATGTGTGTATGCTACATATGTGTATATATGTGTATAAGTTCTTTAAATACTCTATGCAAAATAATCAAATAACTGAAAATATGTTCATTGGTGATTGAATGGAAAATAATTGTATATATTTTTCCAAACAATAATATTTAGTTTTATTTAAAATGAAAGCCAAAGATTTGATTCGGGCTAACAATCTTACTTGGCTCTTTTAAAAATTCTCCAATTCCTAAGACCATGTTTCACAAGCTCCTTAAAGATGTCTAAATGTGTTTCTTTCAAGATGCATAAAGATTCCCTAGTAAACCTAACAAAAGAACTTATTGTGGAAGAAACAGAGGCATACTAATCCCATCTCCAAATTGAGTACTCTTTGCTAAAGAGAACAAGTGAAACGAAGTAAACATGCTCCTAAAATTCCTCATCCTGGTCTGTCCCTGACTTTATAAAAATGTCACACTCCGTCTTAAGAGAGAGAGATAATGAATTAGGACATCACTACAAAATAAAGTTGCCTATTAATTATGCAAGTATTAACAAGCATTTTCTTCAGTGGAAAATCTTTTCATTAAGCAAAGACAACAAAAATAAAGATTAAATGCTGTGTTTTAAAGACTTAACTCATGAACTGGGGATTCAACTCTGTGGCAGAGCACTTGCCCAGCTTGTGTGAGGCCCTGAAGTTCAATTCCAGTGTTGCCCCCCTCCACCCCGCCCCGAAAGAAGACAACACTTAGTTCTTTTAAATACCACATATGGAGCTCTCTCCTGAGAGCTTGCTTTTCTCCACAACTTAGCAATTTGCTTCACTCGAGTAGTCCAGTCTACAACAAAAGAACAGAATACACGTTTTTCAGAGGCATGCTTACAATGTATTGTAACAAAAAGAAATTGATGAACTGCTGACAGTTAATCTTATTCAGACCACATCTTCCAGACTTAGTACAGGTTGAACATCCTTATCTGAAAATCAGAAATCTGAAGTGGTACAAAATCCAAAACTATTTGTGGACTAATATGATACCACAAATGGATCTGTACCTGATCTCATGTGATAAAAGTCATAGTCAAAACACTGGTGTACTTAAATATTGTATAAAGTCCTTTAGGCTATGTGTACATGGTGTAGATGAAAATAAATGAATTTTATGTTTAGACTTAGGTCCAATCTCAAAGATATTCCCAAGAAAATTTCACTATGCATATGCAAATATTTCAAAATCTGAAACACTTCTGGTCCCAGTGTCTGGAATAAGGGATCACTGTACTACTATAGTAAGTTCTTAAAAAAATAGCAAGTTCCTGACACGTAGTAAGTCAAACAAATATTCTCTGAAAGAAGGGTTGCCTTATTAGCAATCTGCCTTATAAAGTTGGCAAATTTTTTAATTCAAGGGGCCAACTAGTCAAATTTAAACCAAGTATAATAAATTCCCTGAAATAAAAACATATGTGTATGTGTATTATATCTATATATCTACATATCTATATATCTATATCTATCTATCTATCTATATCAGAATCAAAGTAAAAGTTTTCTAAATAATCTACACTCAACAGAAATCTATCATTTTGAACTAAAGGAAATGATCATGATCATAATAAATAACCATCTCATCAGCAACATAGAAAAGTAATTATTTTAAATAATTTATATAAAATTCAGTGCCTTGATGGTATATAAAATCAAGTATTGGTGAGATCAACAGTTATTGATAAAAACAAAAAAGTCTGACTCCACATTAAGGGGCTAGATACAGCTGTGTAATTCACTGGCAGAGTATGAACCTAGCAAGCACACGGCCCTCGGTTCCATGCAAGCACTGCCCCACCCCTGCCCCGGCCAAAAAAGTTTCCAAAAAGCCAATGAAACCAAAAGTCAACTGACAGACCAACAGCCTTATCATTGTATTTCATGAGGTTTTTCAATCACAAAGTAAACTTTTTAAAGAAAATCACTAAAAAGAAGCACAAATCTATAGCTCTGCTTTAAGAGCAATTTATGCTGACCAAACTGTTTTAATAGAAACAGTTGCTCATCTATGAGCAACAAATGTAAGTGTGGTTATAAAATGTAGCTAAAGAATGGAGATATTGCATTAAACCACTGATTTAAACTGTTAGATAGGGAAGTATATTTGATTTATTTCTGTACATTGAATACAGTACTAAAGGGAGATCAACTAACATGCCCAGGGGTCCATGTGAGAAAAATACATCCAGATGCACTCCAGTAACTTAAAAGAGCCTAAGTGTTGAAAGATGGCTGGGAAATTATCATAAGACAGAATTTTAATAAATTTTAAATCCTGGTTTATCTGGCAACATAAACTCAAAATAATACAAAAGTGTTGCTTGCAAGTATTCGATAACTGACAATTCATTAATCTAAAAGTTTCATCCTCCATTTAGTCAAAATTTCAAAAACAGCACTATTGTTTCCTCTGATTTTCCAAACAGATCCAGGATACCCACAGGTCAGAAAGGAATGGAGGGAAACAAAAGGAAGATGACACTGAGTAAGTTTCAATACCAACAACTTAAAAGTGACTGATTAAGTTTAACTTAATATTAGGAATTATAGGATACTTCCCGTTCCAGGAACATTTTTGGTTTAGAATTGCACAATATGGACTTGTGCACGCACTGCAAGGCACTAGAAAACTGATAATTTCAGTACTTGAAACAAAGGTTTGAAAATATGCAAATGAATGTAATGCACGGAACTAAGAAAAAGCAAAAGCATTTCTAGATATCTAGAGAATCGTTATACTGTGGACAGTCAGACTGATGAACCGCAGTGAAGATGCAGGGGCTTCCCATCTGTAGAAGAAACCCTTATACTTGAAAATGTCGGTGAATAAATGGGCAGAAACGGTCCGTGACTCACCAGGGAATTCTTCCTTTAAATTGGGGAAGTTAATATTTGTGTAGAGAACTGGTGCCACTGTTGCCATTTCACCCAGAGCTTCCTCTTTCTCCCACTTAAGTGTACTCCTCTGGGCATTCGACATTGTGTCATTTTCTCCCTCCACAGGGGGAGCTGATGGGGTCCAAGAGCTGTTAGGATCACTTGCTATTGGATTAAATGCTGGATTTTTATCCCTGGTGAAAAAAATAAATACCTTCACTTCATAAACAAGAATAACTTCCTGATTCCAGGCTCTAGTACCACTTTTAATTAAGATTTATTACAAAATAGCTAAAAGTAATGTGTTTGATGATTTCTGGGGAAATCCACATACACCAATATCATACACAAGCATTTAAAAAGGCCAATTAAGATACAATTAAAATTAGTATAATTTAATTCTCCATAGCATGTAAGACTTTTTAAGTACCTGGCATCAGCATAAGGGGATTGTGCTATAGCAGAGAAAGTTCCCAATCCACTTCCAGGAGGCAAAGAACTGTGTGGGAGATGAGAACTGGGTCCAATAAGGCCATTCACGAGTGGCATCCGTGAAAACACATCTAAAAAAAAGGGGGGGGGGGGTCGGTTTGCATATCATTCACAAATAACAAGTAGCTGAAATACTTCTAAATAAAAAATTTTAATTCTACTTAAAAGTAGTTTCCCCCCACAACATTATACTGTATAATACTTTTTAAAGGGTCACTTGGTTATAACATTTTGAAATATGGTCTCTACAATTGTATTCACCTAATTATAGTGTACTAAAAATAGTTTCAAAGTACAACAGTCCTGGGTTTGAATCTTAATTCTTCTCTACTTGTTTGAAGCAAAACTAGATTGTATTTATGAAAAGGGGTTACTGTTTGGTGGGTTGAGATGATCTATGTACTGGGAGGCAGTAACTATTAGTATATGTTAACTTTACAAGAGACACAAATTGCAGTTTTGCCTTAATTTTCATTATTTGCAGTTCTGCCCTGAAAACCATTTTTAAATCTTCCAGTTCATTCGTGAATTTTAAATATATTATTATTTCTTTTCTAAATAGATATTAGGCAAACTGTGAGACCACCCTGGGTTTCTTCACAACCCTCCTCAAATGTGTATCTCCAATATTTACTATGATGGTCTACTTGTCTAAACTATTGGAAATAAGATAATTGTCCTTACTGGGGCAGTTTTCCAGCAATGAAACAAAACACAACAACAATAAACAAAAAAACTTTTCACATACTTTTAAAAGAGCCATGCCAATTAAACATGATGAACTGTGGAGACATACTCTAACATATGGCCCCTGTAATTGGTGGAATGTAAGAGGAGCTATTACAGGAGACTCACCTCACTGTCTAGTGACACAAATACCATGATATTCTTTGGGGTGGTAGAGAACTCCCAGCCTGGTCACGTTGATATAACATTAGATAAAAGAAAAACCTCGAGTCTAATGCTCACATGTGTACATGTACATGATGTTCCAAAGCCCAATGCGCTCTCAGTGTGAACTCAGCCCTAGTGCACATAGGCAGAGATGGAAGCCGAGCACAGACAGGGCTAGAGGCGGTCTCCAGGACCTTCACAAGAGGGCTTATTCCACTGCACGCCAGAGGTGGATGCTAGAGGGCTTTCACAATGACTAATGTTCCATGATACAGTTTGCTAGAAGGAATCAAGGTAAAGATTTCTGCTTTTTATTCAAAATAGAATGCTACTTCTCTTTTCAACATTGGCAAGAAGTTGGTTCCATTAAGGAATCTGAGGAATTAATGAAAAATACCTTTCTGATAATTAGGATAACCAAAGGTTAATCACTGTCCTGCAGCTGGCTAATCATCAGCACTACCTATTACAACCACATTATTATTTCCCTAATAACAGCAGCTATTCTAAAAGCTTTACATCTATTTTGTCTTTATACCCTCACAACAGCCCAATAAAATAGTTATTATGTGTACCTCATTTTAGAAAAAAAGAAGAGAGAGTTAAACAAATTGTTTCAAGGGCACAAAAAAGTAAAATTCAAAGCATCATTCTTTCATTATTAATTTAACTAAGAGGTGGTCATTTTTCTCTTCAAATCTACTGCACCTAACCAACTTTGTTAGTGTAACAAGGACATAGAGGCTGCTTTTATTAAAAACACCAACTCTTCATTGGGCCTGCAAATGTCCAAGAGATAACTAAAAGCAGCAGAAAAGTTGGGCATATCTGCCTCCAATTTGTATCTGTCTCTTTTGCTCTGAGTCACTTCCCTCCCATAGTTTCTTACCCTGGATCCCAAGAAAAAAAGGTCTGATCCATCTCTTGTGATGAGTTCAAACTACCCGCTAGGCAATAGCAACTTTCTTTTTCATAGATAAGGCCCTGCCTAACTAATCCTGAAGTAATGATCAGCCAGGCCACAGTGTGACGGGGAGTTTTTGACTATGCATACATCCAGCTTCCCTTCGGTACACAATCATGAGAGCTCCTGTCAGTACATCTAAAGACAAGGCTACTTCCCAGGACAGCGGCACTGATTATAGCTCCTTTCTTGCTTTTTATAATTACTTTTTTATTTGAWTACCTTGGCAAGAGTGGACAAACCTGATTCACCAGGTTCTTGTCAGGTCTCTGGCCTAGGTCTCCAGTAACATTAGTTTATAAAAGTAAAACTGTTGAGGCACGACTCATGGTAAGACTTGAAAAGTTACTTCACTTCACTTCACTTTTACATAAAGGGACCTCTCAGTCTTCCTGAAATTTTCCCTCTTCACTTTCTGACCCCATGGATTATCATCCATGCACTGAACTCTGCCTTGCTTTCTTAACACTCCTATTGGAGTCACTCCACCAGCACTACCAAGTTTTCCACAGTCTGCCAAAGACAACAGTTTTTAAGAACTGTACTCATCCACCCACTGCACTTTATAACCTGTCTCTACTGACACCATTTCTAAGATACTCTCATTCAATGTCTCAGTCTCTACTTTTTTCCATTTTCACCTATTCCTCAAAATGGGGAAAGATAAGGATCATAGAATTGCATACCTAACACAAATCAGGTAAGTTCAGCATGTACTTCATTAAATTTAATTAAAAAGAAGAGCTCCTCAATATTCTGTACCAATTGGCAATATAGTCCCTGAAAAAAAAAAAAATCTCATCCTTCCTACACAACTTCAGCTAGCAAGACTACATGGGGGATTATAGCACTTTCATCTACAGCTCTAACTGCAACTGCCTGTAAGACACAACAAGGTGAATGTCCAACATTTACCAAACTAAAAGCTGTCTAAAACTAAATCCAGTGCACCACATTACCTTCTACAGTACACATGCTCCTTATGTTCCTTTCTCATGTTTCTAGATTGGGGCATGATTATCCTCTAGGYCAGCTTGGCTTGTGTATAGCTTAATTCATTTTATTTCCTCCCTTCTCCTTCCATCTTACATCCATACAATAACATAATTCTATTTATTCTAACTTTACTTTCTCATATCTATTCCTTTCTTTTGTTAGCATTTCAATAACTTGACATAGACTTACACTGTAACTTACTTCCAACCACAATAAACTCATTACTACAACTGTTTTTGTCCAATACTGGCACCAATCCTAGTTTGCCAAAACATGTGACTGAGCAGTCTCATTACACTGGCATTACATTGGCTCACAGAAGCCTGGAGGAAATAGGCAACCCACCTCTGCCTGCTTTCACAGCTATCAATACTTCAGTTGTGCCCAATAAAGCACGGCCCATTTATCCCTTTCCTTCACTCTGGGAAATGTTAAAGCTGCCCTTCTTGAATACTTAAGTGTCTCACTTATAAAACCTGATCATGTTTTACCCATAAATTAGAACTACTATTCTTTCAAACATAAACACTGACATCTTAGTGGTTCTTGAGGCTCTTCTTGAATGACACTCTTCTATAAGCCAGGTGTACACCAAAAAGTCTACATTAGGGTTATAATTTGTCAGGGTAGGCAGCCTTATTACTCTTCTTGAATTGCCTATTAGAGCTAGCCCCCACCCCCCAAAAAATACATCTCCTTAAAACCTTTCTAAAAATAAGAATGTACTTCAAATGAAGTGTTTTTCATAATAATTAACAGCTTTCATTAAGGAACATGTCTTTAAACTGATGTGATCTCTAGAATACCTACTTTAAGTTACAGAAAACATGAAGAAAAATAGTTTTTATATGCTGAGAAGTACTGAAGAATTCCTAACCATTATAAAATCACATAGGAATAATTACAGCAAGCAAGAGCCATTTGGGGGTTTTACCCAATGGTGACCATATGCTTAATCCAGTAAACATCAAGGAGGATTTATATTAGTAGATATAAACCAGTAGAGTTAGAAACATTTTCAAATATAATTCCATTTTCAATTACAGAATTTTTCATGTTTACATAAAATTGGTAGTAAAGAAGTTATTTGCATGTTTTATCAATTATATAAAAAAGAATAAGAGTTTATAAAGGTATCATATTATTTCAGCATAAATAGACATGAAACATTGACAATAGAGAAATGTTCTTAAGCTCAAACTTCGAAACTGCACCTGTCTGTGGAATTCTAAGGTCCTTTCTAAAGAAATGGTTCTCATGCCTGTGGCACTCTTCCTCCCAATCTATTCCTGCAGATCTTCATTCTAGGCTATCAGATTTCAGTTCTCTGGGAAGAGGAGGAAACTGAAGCCTTAAACCTATGTTATATTGCAGGTTAGTTACAGATTGTTTTTTGTCAGTTTTCTTTGACCTAACAAACAAAAATAGGCAAATTTCTACACCACAGGAAATTTTAGTGTCCACAGGCTTGTGGTAAGGTCATTGATCTACTCTAAAGGTTGTACTGAACACATGCTCTGTGAGAGTTTACAGTGATGAGCAAGTCATGGGACCTTAATCTTGATCTTTAAAGTGCCTACAACTTACAGGTATAGCCTTACTGATCCAGACAGGCATTTCTAATCATGCTGCACACTACAGCTAAAAAAGTATGGAGCTGAGGTGGAGATGTGACTGGCTAACCTCTGAGTAAAGGACAGTGCAGGCAAAACCAGACCACTGGTTACAAGGCAGCCAGGTGACAGTAGGGTATGGTCCTCCAAACAGAACAGCCACTGTGTAGGGGATGACCAGAGTGAAAGTGAGCTGGGGCAGGGGTTAAGGAGAGAGGGGAGGAACCATACACATCCTCCCCCACAGCCCCAAACCTAACCAACTGCAGACTTATAGAGGGAGAGAGGCATGGGACAGAAGTTAGTATTTTTTCCATCACAACAGAGGTGAGTTTTCTATCAATTAGTATATATGGTCACTAAAAAATGGGACAAAATTTGCTTATATGTATGCACACACATATACACATGTACCTGTGATACAGAACATCCTTGTGCAAACTGTAACATACCCTGATTGTGTACTGGCAAGAGCTGTGGTGCAGGGGGAGGCTGTGGTAATGGAGCTGGCTGAGTGGTCACGGGGCTAAGTACCGCAGTGAACAAGTCCTCAACATCCTTTCCTCCCAGCTCTAAGAGGCAAAGTAACAATAGTAAAAAGATTAAAAGACCAGTAGATGGGGAATGCCATTCTTATAAACTGAAAATTCAGAGCACAAATACCTGGAATTTTATATAACTTCCCAAGAATTGCTCCTAGGATAAAAGAAATAGAAATATTAACAACTTCTAATTCATTAAACTGATAGAAAACATCATTTAATTGATACAGAAATTATGAAAATAGAAATCAAATCATAAGCATGCAGAAATCTTTGAAAGTCATATTTACTCATGTCTTTTAGAAAGCCTAGATGTAGGGCAAATATTTTACCATCTGTGACCATTTTGTCTAGCTCAGGACTGAGGATTCCATCTAGCTGCTCCTCACTTAACGGTCGTGAACTCTGACCAATGCTTGGCTGAGGCAAAGAGGAAGGATCATCAGCAATAGGACCAATATCTAAAAAAGCAAGGTAAACAAATTAAAAGGTCACTTCAGGAAATTCACACAAAATGTACAGCACTACCGTTCTGCATTCCTAAAGAATAGTATGACTAAAGCAGATACATGAAGTCTACAGTACTGAATTAATTGAGATTCTTGTATCAATTTGTATAATCCATTAGTAAAAATCAGGTACAACATGTCTGTAAACTTAGATACCACCTGACTTTTTTTTTTCTCCAATACTGGGGTTGGAATCTGGGCCTTGTGCATGCAAGGCAAGCACTCTATCACTGAGCAATACCCCAAGTCCCAAAGTAGTCTTATTCAAAGTAAATACACCTCCCGAGGAACAAAAGAACTTATCTGATATTAACTTGATATAATTTCTGCAAAACTAAACCCTATATGAAGCCAGGAATCTAGGAGAAGTAATTATACAAATAACTGCTTTAATATGAAAATAGTGGCATCAAATGTAATGTCCAATTACTATATGTAATATGTGAAACAGGAGAGAGAAGTTTTACCATCAATTAGAGGAAAGCTCTAAATTCCCTATTAATGTTTAGTAAACATTATCCTTTATAATTTTAATCATAAATTATCTTTAAAATTTTGTAGTCATATTCTGAAAATAAATTATGTTAATAATACTGTAACATCCCTCAGCTCATACATGTCAGTAGTTTCAGCAACAGTCACAATAATGTGGTCTCTCATGTATTTTTTTCATGCTTTCTAATAGACTCTTTAAAAGTAAAAATTTAGTCTCCTCCCATCTGAACTTGCATGAAGAACTAACTTTAACATTTGGGTAATATTATAAATTACATATCAATAAGAAWAGAACCATTCATTTTAAAAATTTTACTAAGAAAGTCATCCAAAGCACAGTATAGCTATACTATGCTTTAGCTGTACACAAAAAAGGAAAAGCCAAGTGTGGATTAGTGATGAATTAGCACGACTAAAATATGCATGCACCTACAGGCTGTTTCAGCTGAAACCACTACAAAGAGAAGACTACTTCTAGTCAGCGGTCATCCATTGCTCAGTTTCTTACCAAATGGAAAAGGTGAGCTGTCAACCTGGAAAGTGCATAAATCAAGACCTATAAGACCCAAACCAAATAAAATGGATGGTTACCAGAGTAGCAAGAAGTGAAGGAAATGCAAACACAAGAAGAGGCCCGACACAGCAAGGCTGTGAGGCGACATGCCTTGCACCTGATACAGCAGAAAGGAAATAGACTGCCCTGCTGCACCCCTAAACCAGGAAAACCTGGACAGGCCAAGTAAATGCCAGGTCCCAGACAGAGCCCAAACACAAAACCACCAAAATCCACCGAGTTTCCGGGAACAGGCTGAAGACTGGCTGGCTCCACACACACCTCATGTCAAGACAGGAATCAGGCAAACAGGGTGGACACATACCTGAACGATCAACCGACTTTGCTAGGTCATCTGAGATCATTCCAAGAATGTCATCGTCTGTGTTTAAGACTTCAGAGATATCAGCTAGAGGGTCATCAGCAGAACCTAAATCCAGGAAGCAAGTTTTCAAATCTCAATGTTTTCCTAGAATTAAACTCTAAAATGCCCTAATTTATCCAATGTATGCATTTACTAATACCTGGAGTATAGCAGATGCTGAGGCAAGTGCTAGAATGATAAAAAAGTGACCATTATTACTTCTAAAGTAAAGGATTTTTCATACCAAAGGCCATCAAGTTTTGAATAACAAAAATATTAAAAATTTAGTCTATTTTTTTGTGACTGATCTGTATTGTCAAAATGAAATTTGAAACCTGTAGGTGATAAAAGTGAGACAGAATGCTATAAGAAACAAAGCCAAAAAAATTCACTATGCAGTGTTGTCTATAAAAAAAATAACATCTAGAAAAAAAAAGGTTAATAAAACATGAAAGGCAAATTCATTGTTTTAAAATTTCTTGCAAAACATAAGCCAAGGAGCAATAAGACTGCTCCTTCATTCATTGATTCCAGCACCACTTCAGTACCAACAGAAACAGACTATGGGTTTACGTATCTAGCACTGTTCCAACCACTGGAACAAGAGGCAGGGACTAAGGCAAAGGACCTGCCCTCAAAGGGCTCACTTTCTCACAGGGAATTAGACAATAAGCAAAGGATGCCATGTAATGAGAAAAAGGATCAAAATAAGCTGTGGGGATGCTGCAGTGGAAACAGCAGTCAGGGAAGAGCTGTTCAGTGAGAGTACTGAACACAGACTCCAAGGAAATGAAGGATGCACAAAGATGTAGAAGACTTGTCAAGCACAAGGAAAATAGCTGTAACAGCCCTGGCCAGAGAGGGGCTGTTGACCCAGGAGGCCCCCTGTGCTCAAGTTAATAAAGGCAAACAGTGGGAGGAAACAAGCAGCAGCTAGTGCAAGATCATGCCATTTGGTGGATCATGTGAAGACTGGGCTTTATCTATAGTGCAGGGGAAGCTGTGGGAGGGCTGCCCTGCACACAGGGGTGGGGCAAGGGTCAGCAATACTAGAAGGGTGGAGACCTGCTGCAGGTTCAGTGGGTGGTAACGAAGTCTGTGCTGCAGCGACGTTCAAGGTGAAGGAAGAAGTGTTGGCTTTGGGATATATTTTGAAGACAAACAAACTGGGGACAGATAGGATGTGGAATTTAAGAAAATGAAAAGTCAAGGAGGATTCTAAGTGTTTTTGGCTTAATCAAATAGGAAATATTTGAACTCTTATTTAGGCCAGCTTTAGTAATTGTATTTGTCATTCAGTTAAAGAACATCTGAAATTTTTGATCCATTTAAGTGTGTTTTTATTTAGCAATAAAAAGTGGGGAGGCAAGGGGCTGGGATTGTGGCTCAGTGGTGGAACACTCGCCTAGAACGGGTGCGACCCGGGTTTGATCCTCAGCACCACATAAAAAATAAAGGCATTGTGTTGTGTCCATCTACACCTAAAAAATAAATATTTGAAAAAAAAAAAGTGGGGAGGCATAAATGTAATCCTCCAGATCAGACACCACTGTGAAACACACACAGTTCTGGTGCACCTCTCAGGGCTGGGAATGTGGCTCAAGCGGTAGCGTGCTCGCCTGGCATGCATGGGGAACTGGGTTCGATCCTTAGAACCACATGCAAATAAAGATGTTGTGTCCACCGAAAACTAAAAAATAAATATTAAAAAAATTCTCTCTTTATAGTAAAAAACAAAAACAAACATACACCTCTCAAACAGAATTCAAAACAAAACAAAAAAAACATCATAGACTCTCAAATTGCAACAAGCTAAAATAAGTTTTGTATACCCAAATATTTAGAACAATTTTAAAGAAATAAAAGTATTACATTAATCTATCTAGGTAACAGTGTATTTGCAAGAAAGATTCTGGACAATCCTTTGAGGGGTCATTTGTAGTTTTCTGTTCTGTCTTGAAGTAATTAAATTCTATATTTATATAACTAAATTTTAAAAGGCTGTTTAAAAAGTATGTTGTACCTACCTACAGTAAAAGATTTTATATCTTATCAACAAATCATTAAAAATAATATAATGGGCTACATTGGACAAGATGACATTAAAAAAAGAAAACCCTAGTTTGTTAATTTTTCATTATAAAGGCAAAGGCTGGGTCAAATGGAAAGAATATTAAATTTAGGTTTTGAAATGGGTGGTATTCTAGTCATCTAAGTTTTGGTCTTCCTAGACAGTCATTATTTCTTCAACAGTTTTGTGAGAGCTGTAACCTAATCAGTCCAATCTAGTTTGAATGAGCAGCCCAGGTGGTAACTGCAGGCAGGTGGGATGTGACTAAAAGAGGAGGGTCACTGAAGGTAAGCCCTAGAAGTGCTGTTCTTTCTTGAAGCCCAATCCTGGTTTCCTCTCTCTGCTTCTTAACCTAGCCATGAGTTAAGCAGCTCCTCCCACCCCATCACTGGACCCTTCCTCCATGATGTGCTACCTTACCTTGGACCCAGAGCAATGGAGCTGGCCATCTATGGACTGAGTTCTCTGAAATAGTGAGCCCCAAATAAACTTTCCCTCTACTAATTTTGGTCACAGCAACCAAAGAAAACAAAAACATTTTACATCTAATTTCACTTTTTCCTTATAAAACTCAAGTGCAACAACTTCTGTTTAAGTCCTTAAATGGCATGTCATGATATGTTTAAAAAAAAAAATCATTTGAAGACCCATAAGTATTTCATTAGTCTTTTTTGTACAGGGTCTCTCTAAGATGCTGACACTGATCTCAAACTTGGGATTCTCCTGCCTCAACCTCTCAAGTTGCTGGGATTACATGTGTGTAATCCCACATTCAGTTTATTATACATTATTTAAACAACATATTGATAAAGATGAAATAACAGAATTAATGTAAAAGTTTTTTTTTTTTTTTTTTTTTTTAATATCTGCTAAGGGTAAAGAAAGACCATGGACATTGACATTGGTCCAGTGTGTTCACCACTCGGCGTTGTCCATGGTGAGGAAGACCAGACATGAATATGCACACGAGAGGAGGTAAGACTACTTCTAATTTAAGTCAAACACAACACAAAAGTCTATACAGGTGATCCCTCAGTATTTGCAGGGGATCAGGTGCTCAAGTCCCTTAAATTGGTCCTCTGTGATGAAAATAACAGCTGCAGAGGACTGGCTACATTTTAATACACAACAATGCGAAGTTAACAAAACTATAACTACTTAATAACAAGTCATTTTTTTTCTAGTGGAAAGTTGACTTAAAATTGTTTTTCCAAAATGAATTTATAAAATTAACGAAAAGCAAATGTAAATCAATGGCAAAAGAAGCTTGTCAGGAAAAAAAAAACATTAATTTATAATTGGTAATATTTAGGTGGGGGGAAAACCCCACTATGATCCCAACACATATATTCAAATGAACTCCAAGAGCATTGTTGACATTAATCTTACTTTTGAAGCATACCAAGTTCTGCCACCTTCTGCGATTCTTCATAGTTGCCATATTTTCTGTACCTAGAACAACGGCTTGCAAACAGGGGGCAGCTTTGCCTATGTGAGGCAATATCTGGAGACATTTTTGACAGTCATGACCTCATTAGATCAGAAATGCTATTAAATATCCTACAAGTCATGGGAGAATCTCATTCCCACAACAGAGAGATACGTGCTCCACCCTGTCAGAGGTGGGAAACCCATGATTGTGGGCTATATATGTTCCTGGATTAACATGGTCTATCCGCAAGTTTCTCTCTGAGGCATTCTTTCTGGTTTGTCTCTGTTTCAAATATCTTTGGGCTATGTAATTAAAACAAATATACCTTACTTAAACTGAAGAATGTACTTACAGCTCACCAACTATAGCCAAATTATACCGGTTTACATTGTCCTCAGCAAAGTGTAAACCAAACATTTTCCTTCACAACTCTGAATTTCAAAGGCAGTTACAGAGGTAAATTAACTTGCCAATCTTATAAAACTGTCCACTTAAAATAGCTGCATTTCCTAAATGTGAATTATACATTAATAAAGTTGATTCTTAAAATGCATGAGGCCAAATAAAAGCATTTCTGAAGTGTAATCACACAGAAAGTAAATGTCATAGGATATAAAGAAAACACTTRTTAATTATTCTACATACCCTGAGTTCCAGGTTTTGATGGAGCTGAGGACGAACTAAGTAGTGGATCTAAGGAAGGATCCAAGAAACCTGTGTTCATGTTTGTTTTATAGGAAAGCTGAGCTGCATCTTCTGCTAGATTATCTAAACTCAGCTTGTTTTGTCTACTTGTATCCAGAAGATCTTTTCCAAAGAAAGCTTCCTAGACAAAGATAAGCACATAAGAAAATGATTAGTTGTAAAATTCTAAAAAGACAACATTATTCTGTCATCATTTTTGACAAGGAAATAGAAATAACAGAAAAGCTTTGTTTTTAACAATACAGAAATAAAATAGAGAAATACAGAAAGAACAAAGAATTCTGTGAATTCTTTCATGGAGAATTCCCTTATATTAAGATTTTTTTTTTGGTAGCTTTGCTGGAGACAAAATTATACAAATATGAACACAAAATTATATCAAATGTGTTTCTAGCAATGACAAGACAATAATTCAATTCTGGAAGATTAAGGTGCAATTAAATTTAAAAGATGACAGATTTACAATACTATAGGCACCTTAATTCATACTGTAAGAAACACTAAAGCTTCATGAATATTATTAATATTTACAGATTACTTCCAAAGGATAGCATAAGACTTTGATCTACAGTTTTAATATGCACATATTCAGGTAGATTTAGTAACCTCATGTTGATTCATATAGCCACACAGAAGACTTACACTATAAATCTGAAAGAGGGTTTTAGAAGTCATTTTAACCATACCGTGTGTGCAACACTTGCAGCTATTCTGGCTTTCTATTTCTCCAGATGAACTCTTCTGCATCTCTACACACTTCCCCTGATCTAGTGGCTGGTGCTTCCAGCTGGGTTTCTGGTAATTCCAGATCTCCCCAGAACTTCTCAAAGATCAATACAGAAGACCAAAAGGAAGCACTCAGGACCCTTTTTCATATGCTTAAACCCAACCCTTTGTCTATTTTGTATTATGTGGCCTGTTGGTAAAAGGACCCTTTGTACAGAATGATTTTGCAGTAGTTATAAACATTTGACACGCTATTGCCAAACACACATTAACTTTTAAAAGGATTCACTTTAGCATTTCTATAATATCAAAAGGGAAAGCAGCCTTGATGTCCTTCAGAAGGCACATGACTAAATAAATCAGAGGTACTCATACTATATAACAGTTTTTAAAAGTATGCAGAGACAGTGGTATCAAGAAAAGCCCCAGAATACATTACTACACAGAGAACAGCTGAAAGATGCATCCAGCAAAGTATGCAGAGACTATTATAAGACAAGTAAAAATAAATTATAAAAAAGTTCTAAAAGGACATACAGCAGAATGTTAACAATGCTAACTTTTGAAAGGGATTTGGGGGGTGAAGTCTGGTGGAGTAATGAATACGTACACCTGATTTGAAATTTTCATACTTTTGAAATGAACAAGGTGTTTCATTATGAAAAAAATATATGAATATCCACAATGGTAGAACACTGGATGGAAATGGTCCATTTCTTTTCTAGCAATATTTTATCACCAGGAAAAATGCTGAAGAGCATGAAGAATAGAGGTAAAGTAAAGATGAGCCAAATGAAAAATGGGTCTATTTCTTGACCAATAAAAATCCCGTTTTTGGAAAAAAAAAAAAAAGGTGCAAAGCATTGGGGGACATAAAGGGAAAGAGGGGACTAAAACATTTCTTAAGGATATGTAAAAGTAAGGCAAGAGTTAGGTGCTCAACATCCATATTCTTATAAGATCTCAGACCATTTCTATGAGGTTGCTATTTCCATGATTTTACAGATGGGAAAACTGGGGCAAAAACGTGGTAAACAAAATCAATTGAATTAAGTAGTAGCACAGTGATATTTAAACTCAGGACTCTGATTTTAATAGCTGAAGTCTTTAATGTGAACATGGCCATTAGGATGTTAGTAGTCTAGTTACTAAAAAAAGAAAACTGAGCAAGTTGTACCGTTGTACCGTAAGTGAAATAAAGTATATTTTAAAACCAAGTTATAATGGCTACCTGGAAAAAATCAAGGTTAACAAATGAATACAACTCACACAAGTATCTACATGGGCCACTGTTCTGCAGCAGGGACACATCAGATAGACAGTCTTACACAGTGAACTTAGGTGGGCACTCAGTCTATTCCAGTTTAACTTTTTATGAGTGAAGAAATAGAAGCCCAGAAGGATCAATGACAAGCTCAGGAATCTAGAATTAACTGGTGATAGAGCTGGATGTTTAATTCCGGCCCTAGGTTGAGTAGATGGCTATAACGCACAACTTCTTGAATTCTTCTGTGACTTAATGTTTACAAGATGAACTAGAAAGATTTCCTTTATTACAGTCTATACTTTCCAAATATAATTCCTTCTTGTTGAGAGAGATCTTTCTAGTATGAATTTTGAAACTCTTTGGCTTTGATTCTTTGCTTACTAGGCCTCTAAAAGCAGCAGACAATTATTAAAGCTGTGATGTCTGCTGATAAAAACTTTTTTTTGTTGGATAAACATAATTATCACAGGGTGCATTTTCAAAGGGAAACGTCAATTAAGACTTGGGTTTGGTACATTATACAAGTGTGTGGATGGTTTAAAAGACAGATTTCCCCATTCCAAAGTGACTTATTATGGTTTACAGATTGCTCAGAAGTGAACAGGTGGGATGAAAAAAAAAATTTATGTGAAGTACCAAAGTGCAAAAAAAAAAAAAAAAAAAAAGGCGGGGGGTCAGGGTGGGGGACAAATGTTAATTCTTATGGGGCCTGGAAAGACATTTGTAATGATTAAATTAAAAAAAAGTAGAACACTAGCAAAAACTATAAGTCTATTTTTAAAAGCTCAATACACTTCCTCAACTAATGCTGTATAATATAAAGCAATATATTACTTGTAAGTAGGCAGGGAATGTTTCTTCAAGCTTATTTTTCCTTTTTCGGTATCTCTTCTTTATTTTTTCAGTGCTTTCAGCAACAGAAACAGATTCATCAAGTAGGGCATCTGGTAACTGCTCACTCCAGCCTGAAACAAGAGTCACACTTATGTGCATTTAAATTTCAGACAATTCAACCCAAGGAAAGAAACTTTTACAGCTGAYCAATATATACAGTTCCACGTAAATGAACAAGCTTTTGTGACACAAAAAGATCTCAAAGCAAGTTTATTAGTAAGTTTTAAGCATCATAAAAATTCCATTTCATGTTTCCTATTCTTGCTTAATTACCACCATTTCCTGGCAAAGCACTTTTGTTTTTTTAATACAACATTTTGGTACAGACTTAAAAAAAAATGAAATGCTCATGAATATGTGGGGAAAGCTTCTCATATACTCTCCTAAAGGAAACTGAGTAGGTATAACATTTTTTTGTAAAATATAATGGCAACTGGCAACAAAAATCTTTTTAAAAATGTCTATTCTTTAATTCACCAATTCCAAGTTCAGAAATTCACTGTAAATGGGGTTTACATTGTGAAAACATTACTATCTATAAATATGCTCATAGATAACGAATATGTTCATGCAATGAACATTCATTCTTAAATTCTGAAAATAGCAACAGAAAAAACACTGGACTGTGAAATCATCAGAGAAACAAGTGAAGCACACAGGGCAGAGAGATGAGCACACAAATGACAGGCACAGCTAAGGGCAGGGCACGTGGGGCATCTCTTCTGAAAGCCAACATGGGCGATTCTGTGGCTGGACTACAGACTGACTCTTCTGAAAATAACAAACATTTCTTTCAGAAATGACCTTTTAACATGTATACCGACTACAAGTTAAGGTAAAGAAGGAGCCACAGAAGCAAGCAAAGAAGTAAAACTCTGAATGCTAAAATCCAGTGACCTAGAACTCCAATTGTCAGAGCAGAAATGCAGACTAGAAGATGAAGGTTAAGGGTGCTCTCCAAGGTAAAAAGAGTAACTGGGGTTGCCTTGAGAGAAGTGGAATGGTGACAAACTCCATTATCGGGGCCTAACTATTTGGATCTTGCATGTCTCTCAAATGCCTGTGTACAAAGCCTGATAACCAGCCCTGGAGTTCTCAGGAGGTGGTGGAACCACTGAGAAGTGAAGCCTCTAGATTTTCTCTCTCTCCACTGCCAGGAGGTGTGCAGCATCCTTTGCCACATGTCCCTGCCACAATATGCCTCCTCATCCTGGACTCAATCAACAGGACCAGCTAACCATGGGCTGAAATCTCCAAAACTCTGAACCAAAATAAATCCCGTCCTCCTTTTGATTGATTTTTTTCAGGTATTTTGTCACAGTAATAGAAAGTTGGCTGACACAGGGCATATCAAACAAGAAATACAGCCTGCCCACCCAAACCACCACCCACCTCCAGCACCCCAATACCAACAGCAAAGAAAACTACTGGTCATTGTGTCACAGAATTTGGTGCTCAGCCCAAAGGCAAAAAATAAAACTCTTCCCTGATAGTTCACAAATTCAATATAGCCCCAATGTGTAAAACTCCTCAATTTATAAAACGTGATTGAACAGAAATACTTCAAACTAAGCATGTAGCTTAAAGTGGCCCTGAAGTAATAATAATGTAACCCCATGTTCCTGCAAGTAACAAAGTCAAATGTCTGGAAGAGCACACCCTCAATTTTCTTAAAAGAGTTCAGAGAATGCCCCAAAGTTTACAGGAATTAAGCAAATATATATATATATATATACACACACACACACACACACACAATGAAATGAGACACTAATAGAGACAACAGATATAAAGAATAGAATCAGACATGTAAAGGCTTCAGAAATTTTATATTTTAAAACAGATAATTACATGAAGGATTAAAAGACACATAAAGTAGAAGCTTTAAAAAGAAACTCAAGTACTAAAATATCAAAAAGGCAATTCAGAAAAAAATTGCATATAAAAATCAAAAAACTCAATTTGTAAGTTTTTATTAGATACAGTTGAAAATACATAACTAAAAATGCGAATCTTAAGAAATTTCTGGAGTACAGAAGACATGGAAAACTAAGAAGTTTTAATGAACACATTGGCTTCCTTAATCAGGGTTTATTAAAGCCATGTAAAGGCGTATTGGAAATTTACTGAAAACCATCAGAGAGCCTCATGAAAATGGGCAGTATATTAATTCACCTGAGGCCCAAGCCCTAGAGGACATGCTGAAATATCCTCCAGTATTCTTGCATCATACATTGAACATTTCAAAACACGCAGTCATACATACCATAGCATGCAGATAATGATGTCTGCATCAGAACCACTTCACAGAGTGAGAAAACAGCAGTGTACTCCTAACTGACAAAGTTGTGGCTTAAGCAATGATTTAGCTATCTCTGAAATGCTGAGTAAGGATGACAGAATGTTCACTGAAAAGATGGGTTTATAAAATACTACAAGTTGGTTAAGAGTTGTTGGGGTACCTCCATCATTTTCTATTAAATAGCCTACAAATTTCAAGTTTTATGCAAAGTACATAAGGCAGGCAAAGGAAGGCCTCTGCTGAGGTTACCAGATCAGTTTAACCAACTGATTCTCAGTGCCTGCAGTTTATATTTAATACAGGAAATATATTTAATATGGGGAGGGGTGCTTTAAAAAAATTTACAAGGGTCTGGTAGCTCAGGGTAATATGTATACATAGCAAGCATAAAGCCCTGGGTTTAATCCCCAGAACCAAAAGAAAAAGAGGGTTAAAAAAAAATTACTCAAAGAAATAAAGTTTATTGGATTTAAACCATGTCCTTATCAAATTTGACTACTATATACTAAGTCTGAAATCTACAGGCACTCAAATCCTTTGATCAGTAAAAGGCAATAAGATCATGATGGGGGCTGGGGATGTGGCTCAAGAAGTAGCGCGCTCGCCTGGCATGCGTGCGGCCCGGGTTCGATCCTCAGCACCACATACAAACAAATATGTTGTGCCCGCCGAAAACTAAAAATAAAATAAATATTTAAAAAAAAAAAAAGATCATGATGGTAGCATTATTTAAAATGGTTCTAATAGAAATACCAAGACTTAGGGGGTTATATCAAACAAAATCAGTACCATACCATCATCTCTGCTAGGTAACTGCTCAGAAATAGAGCCTGAGGAATCTTTTCTGATCACGGATCTTTTGGTTTTTCCTTGCCCAGTTCGACTTCTTTGCCGCACCATGAATCCACCAATGCCTATCCAAAAAAGAAATTGGGTAAACAGATAAATAATCAACTTCTCCCTATAGTTCTACAGTAAGTAGTATGAAATGTCTGTGTTTAACACTAAGGCATTTTCCAAAATTTAGTCTGGTCTAATCTAAATCAACAAACTCATTTTTATATAAAATAGAAAAGGATGGAAATAAGTAAAAACTAAAAGTCAAAGCCATTGCTATCACTAATCAAACAAGAATCCAACTCTGCTAGAGTAGAGAAAGACTTGTATTGTATGCAGGTCCTCCTCCAGACAAGGCCAAGCAGGTCCTGAATCATGGATTGTGCTCATGTGTGATCAGCTCACACCTCACAGTATCTGTACACTGAGGCTAATCATGATAAACATAATAATCATAAYGAGACTAGATGACACACTCACTAGTGAAGAATGCTTCAGGGGACCAAGTCTAGCTCTTCCTTACTAATAGGACCTTCGGACCCGATACACAGAATGCTGTCGTTAAAAGTTCAGAATCTGGAGTCAGGCTACATAATTCTATTCAATAACTAAATTCGGGCAGTTTATTTAATTTTTCAGTGCCCCAGTTCCCTCACTGGTAAAATATGGATAATGTACAGCATGTCCTCATATACATGTCCTAAGTGCCTGCAAACTAAGTCAGAATGAAGTTCTGTCCCAGTCAACATTATCAGCTGTGGCTAAATGATAAAGTCATCAGGCGATATACTGTGTGACCTCATGGCCCCTCAATTAAAGGGACAACTTCCCGTGAACCACAAAAAGAAAACAAAATGAAACATCCAAGTTCCAGAGAGAATCTGCAACGTCTGACTTGACTAAGAGCACTTGTAGGCCCAATGATTAGAACAAAACGGAGCACWCCATGACGATGACCTGAAGGAAACTGATCCCCAGTCCTTATAATGGATGTGGTCCATTATATTTTAATAAAATATAAGCCATCAGAAGAATAAAGATTGTACTGATTCAATTTAATACCTCATTTACTGATAAACAGACATTAATAAATGATGTTAAAATACGGCCTACAATTTCTGTATTGTGGTATTCCCATAATTTTTTTTCAGTAAGGTAAATAAAATCTGACAAGCAAGGCAGTTTTCCCCTCTGCCCCTAAGAAAGACAGAAAATAAGGAAGTTCTCAGTCTGTTACATATTAAGGGGACTATAAATACTAGGAAGAATAAGAACCTTTCTTGTTCACACTCATACTGTGCTTACTGGCACTCCTGCATAAATGCTGACATAAGTTTTTAAAAAGTAAAAATATTAGAAAGTGAATGCTGAAAAGTAAGACAAATGTACTCATCAGCAGAAAAACATAACTGGTCCTAGACAGCAACTGTAAGTAAAAAGCAATCCAGTAAAGCATTTTTTAGAAGAATTAAATTTAGAGTAAGGCAATAATAATAATTTGTTACATAGACACTCAGCCTAAAGAATTTGTCATCTACAAAGCACACTCAAGAAGTCAATTCTGTATCTATAAACACAAGTTTTAGACAGTGGTTAAGATGCTATGCCTCATCCTGATATTCAGTTATAACTGAGGTTCCCAATATCCTCTTAAAGTGGCCAGTTTTGATTACATTAGAACTTCACCTGGTCTGTATGGCTTCCTTTTTCTCTTTTTGACACCATCTGTTCCTTCTACTCCCTTTGCTTCGTCATCCACAGCTTCTCGCTCAGGACTAGATTCTGATTTTCCATCACAATCCATAAGTTCTCCTTCTGGAAAAGAAGTAAATCTATGGATGAAACTGGAAAAATTTAACAAACACACGATCCCTAGCTAAAGGGAAATACAAAGCAAAGAGGCCACCAAGCCATTCTAGTCAAGTACCCCAGAAGACAGGAAAAGTAGAGAAAGAAGTCCCAAGAGGCACCAACTGGTGGTAGAAATGTTTGCACAATGCTCTTGGCAAATAAAACTAGACCCAGAGAGCAAGCTCAAAAGACAATTATTAACCAATTTGCACTTTATAAACCACTCACTAGCCTTTAATTATGTCTCCAGGTCCCAGACCTCAAGGCTCTCTCTAACCCAGAGCTCTCCTCAGAGCTCCAACTACAGCTACAGTTGGGTGCTGCTTGATCACTGAAAACCACGCATACAGATTCTAAGATGACCCCTCCCTTCCCTGTGTCACCCATCACCATTAAAAGACAAAAGCAACCCAAGGAAGAAGGAACCTGGAAGAAGACTTGACAATCCCTAATCTCTTTTCTCCCACAATCAAGACTTCTCAGTTTGTCTCAAAAGCAGTTTATTTCTCCCTACCACCATCTTTGTTCAATCTAGCAGATAATTTACTACAATAACCTCCTCTCTTATTCCTGGCCCAATGCTTACAACTATCCAATCAATTCTTTAAATTGTAGCATAAATGGTCTTTATATAAATATGTATCAATTTTCTGTTTCAAATCCTTTCACGTCTTCCCAACACCCTCAAAATAAAGTGAAAATTTTGAAGTTCATTGTAACAGTCTCCTGTAAACTCGCCAGTTTCATCATATTCCTACTATGGTAAACCATGTTCAGTCCTCAAATTTATCAAGCTTCTTTCTACTTCTCTCAATCACTGCTTTCTTTGATTCCTCTTTTCAAGATTTATTCTAACCATCATTGTATTAAAGAATTCCTGATATCTAGAGAAGGCTATGTCCCACGGATCCATGATGCTATGCACTGATGTTATACTTCATTTTCACTGATTTTCTAAAGTCTGTGGCCCTGAAAGACAACATTCTCCATGAAAATAGGTACTAAGACTTTTCTATACCAGCTGTATCTTTAGCATGGTACATAACATGTGTTAATAAATATTTCACTGGCCAAAGTAACTAAAATCAAGTAATATACATAAAAATTCACATTTCAGAAATGCAATTTTCACAATATGGTAATCAAACTTTTTCAATTCTGTACATGCTTTACATTGTGCTAAAAGAAAAAAGTTTATCAAAGAACTTTTATTTCTTTTCCTCACTAAATATTACACATAACAAGTTTGTTATTTGAGGACAATTTGATACTGTTTATTAGCACTTTGCCTAGAATATGCTGGGGACCCTGAGTTCCATACCAATCACAGCAAACGGAAGAAAGCTAGGTTGTGGAAATTCATACATGGTAACCAAAACCAAAACAAAGATCCAGTAGAGGGGCAAGAATGAAAAACAGAGAAACCAGATGAGTAGGTTTCATGTCTAAATACCAACTCTGGGAATGAGAGGAGAGGATGATGCAGGGAGAAATCATACGACACATCAAGCGTTTCCAACACTGATAAGCACAAGGCAGCAGACTGAAAGACACCATCAGTGCCTGAGAGAGCACACAAAAATACCCAAGTAGAGGAAAGTGGGGAGAGGGGGAGAGAGAGAGAGAGAGAGAGAGAGAGAGAGAGAAATCACAGAACATTGAGACCAAGAATTTCCTGAAATTCCAACAGCTTCCAGAGAAAACAGGTCACAGGTCACAGAGAATCGAGTTCTCCTTATATAAAGACAACAGAATAAAGACTTCCAAATGCTAAAAGAAAATGTGTTTCCAACCTAGAAAAGATCAAGCAGGAAAGAAGGTAAAATAAATACATTTTCAGAAGTGTATAATTCCTCAAATATGCATTCCTTACATTCACTCTCTCTCAGTAAACAATGGAAGATATACTCTACCAAAATGAGGGCAAGGAACAAGAGAAAGGAATATCCGAAGCCACAGAAAACACGTGATGCAGCATAGGAACAAAGACAGTCCCCAGGACGAGAGTAAGGAGAGAATGCCAAAAATCAATCATGTCTGATGCTTCGTGGTCCAAAACAACACTGGATGCATTCACTCCAAAGAGAGTGCACAGGAGCAGTGAAATTAAGATAGCACTTTACAAGTGAGACCCTCTCCCCCAGTGACACAAGAAGCACACATTCGAGATAAATAGCTCATAGTGGGATGTGCAGTACCATTTAGCATGACCACCATCATGGAAGTTGATAATTCTCCTAACCAGCATCTTCACTTGGGCCTTCCAGCTCCACAGACTACAATGCAGGAAAGTACCATATTGCCCATATATGAGAAACTCTCCCATGAATACAGGTTTGTACATGAATAAATAATATTCCAGAGAAAACAAATCTCTGGAATATTATAAGAAAACAGTGGTTCTCTTTAGATAGGGTGGTTGGGAAGTTTTCATCATTTACTCTTTGGAACCTGTGTATTTGGGGGGGGGGCATTCTTTAATATCATGTACAGATATTACCTATTCAAAAACAAGCCTCCAGTGGGAAAAAAACTGAAAGCTTTTCTCAAATATCTGATACACAGCAAGGATGCCCTCTCTCACCTACTTCTATAAAACATACTACTAGGAAGGACTAATAAAAGAAATGTGACAAGAAAAACAAAATGCATACAGTCAGAAAAGTAATAAAATTATATCTATTTACAGATGGCATGATCCCATATGAGGAAAACCCTAAAGACTCCCAGGAAAATTATTAGAATAAGTGATTTTGGTTAAACAACAGAATATGAAACCAACATATGAAAATCAGTTTCATCTCTTTATACCAATAATGCTTTATCCAAAAAAGAAATAAAGAAAACAATTCCAGGGCTGCAGATATAGCTCAGTAGGCAGAATGCTTGCCTTACATGCACAAAGCCATGGGTTAAAACCTCAGCACCACCCACCACCAAAAAAAAAAAAAAAAGAATTCCATTGAAGATCTGGGCTGGGGATGGGGCTCAGCAGTAGCGCACTTGCCTGACATGTGTGAGGCACTGGGTTTGATTCTCAGCACCATATTAAATAAATAAATAAAAGATAAATAAAGGTCTATCAATAACTTAAATTTTTTTTTTAAAGTTGAAGATCTGTACACAAAAATTAGGAGATAACGGTGTAAGAAACAGAAGATATAAATAAACAGAAATCCCATGTTTGTGGAATGGAAGAATACTGTTAAAATCTGTGTACCATCCAAGGAAATATGCAGATTCCCATAATGTCTATCAAAATTTCAATGGCAATATTCACAAAAATGGAAAAAATGATTCTAAAGTTTGGACAGAATCACAAAAATTCCAGGAGACAAAACAAGTGGAAGCATCRCACTACCGACTTTCGAATTATATTTCAAAGTTCTGGTAATCAAATGGTATAGTATTAACATAAAACCAGAGAAACTACAGGAACAGAAATAGAAAACCCAGAAATAAGCCCCAAAATATAATCAATTCCTTTTTAACAAACTTACCAAAAGACAAAATAGGGGAAAAAGGTAATCTCTTCAATAAAAAACTGTCCTGGTACAACTACATATTCATAAGCAAAGAATAAAATGTGATGCTTATTTACATACCACATCCAAAAATCAACTAAAAATTATTAAAGATCTAAATGCACAACCTGGAACCATAAAGATCCTAGAAGTAAATGGGGAAAGTTCCTTGGCGATGACTTTCTGGATACTCACTGAAATCAGAGGGATCAAAAGCAAAAATAAACTAGTAGAACTTTGTTACACGAAAAGTTCCAGCATGGCAAAAGGAATAATTAGCATAATGGAAGGCATTACATGGGTTTGGGGAAAATATGTGCAAACCATAAATCTTATCACATAAAGGGCTAATATATGGGGGAAAAAAATCACACAACCCAAGAGCAAAGAATAAAAACAAAGCAACAAATACAATTAAAAATAGGAAAAGGAAGGGGGGAATCATGAATTGAAATTGATTTCTATGCATGTATGAGTATATCAGGATGAACCCAACTACTATATATTAGAGCTTACTCTAATAAAAAATTTAAAAATGGGCAAAGGACCTGAATAGATTTTTCCAAAGACTAGAATGAGGCAAAAGTATATAACTGGTGCTCCATATCATCAAACAACAGGAAAATGCAAATTAAAATCAAAGTGACATGTCATTTCATATATGTTAGAAGAGCTTTTAACCAAATGATGAAAAATAACTTGAATATGAAGATATGGAGAAAAGGGAACCCTTATAAGCTGCTGGTGGGAAACTGTAGTGGAAAACAATAGTAAAGAGGTTTCTCAAAAATAAAGAAAAATACAACTACTACAAGACTCAGCAACCCCTCCTTTGGATATATAACCCCCACACCAAAATGAAATCAGCACCTCACAGAAATATCTGCATTCCTCAGTTCATGGCAGTATTATTCAAAATAGCCAAGATATGGAAAGAACCTCTGTGTCCAAAGACAGATGAACATATAAATTGTAAAATGCACATCAACACATACATATGTATATATAAATACACATATGTACATTTGAATAGATACAATGGATCACTGTTCAGATTTTAAAAAGAAGAATAATGCCATTTGCAACACAGATGAACCCAGAGGACATAATGCTAAGTGAAATGAGCTAGGCATAGAAAAATACTCTTTGATCTCACTTATATGTAGAATCTTTAAAAAAAAGAAGTTAAATAAACAAAGAGAAAGTGCAAACAATGCCCGAGGTCAAGCATGCCCAGTACTAAAAATACATAAAATTAATTGGAAAAAAATAGTCAACATGTTAGCTGAACTGTCTATTAAATCAAATATTTGTTGCATTTTAAACAGCATATACTCTTTGATTTGTTTTTTTCCAGTTTAAGCATACCTAAAAACCACAAAACTCATTTTAAGCATGTGTGTGCACATATACATACATGTTTTCTCAGGATAGCAAAGTGTGGGCATGCTAAATTTTAAAAAAGGATTTTTATTTAGTTAACAACAATCATTAATCTCATCCCTAAGGAAGACACCTCTCCTTTCACAAAGGTTTTGAGATCCTGAGATACAAATGAGCATAAGGAATAGTCGGGAAAATATTGCTTAATCAATCCTTTCAACTGTAACATTGTCTTTATTAACATCTTCCACATCCAACATATTAAACAACAATCATGTTCTTTCAAATTCAGTGAAACTAAAGACAGATTCAGTAAATAAAATTAAAGATGACTATCTCACCACATGAATAGAAAAAAGGCAAGGGTCATTTTTCAACTGATTTTCTGTTACCCTGACAAGGGTCATTAAGAGAATATAAAAATGAAATATACCACACATTTCTCATAGTATTTCTCTACACAATGGTAGCCACATAGAAAACTTTCTAAGGGTTTTTGTTCTTTTATTTTTAAAAGGTTCTATAATCTCATAAGTTGGAAAATAATGTGTGCTATCAAGAAACCTTTCATATTACATAAAATGCAGCACTTCCCAAACTTAAGTGACTATGGATGTAACCCTTTTTCAGACAGATTTTAATATCTTTGGAAACTGAAATTTCTCAGTGTCCTCCTAGACACATGGACGACGACGACGACGACGACGACGACGACGACTACTGCTGCTGCTGCTGCTACACAACCCAAAAGTTTTGATACACTTTATAATTATATTCTGTTCCACAGTATTTGAAAATCACTTTCACATAAGCAATAAAAACCTCCCCCCAAAACACTACTACTACAGAAATGTGAGGATCAGATGGTAAATAATTAGGAATAAAAGATAATTCCTTTGCAGGTGATGACTGCTCTTCACCTGGACAATGAGTGCAGCCTCCTGTATGATCTAGCTACTGCATCTCTAAAACCTAACTGTCTATTCACATCACAGCAGACAGATTTTCTTCAAGTGAGATCATGCCCTTGTACTTCAGAAACTCAATGAGTACCCCACCCCCATTCCACTCTGATGAATGTAGACTCCTTCACCCATCTGTCCTGCATGATCTCCAGAGGGACCGTCCTCACCAACACCTCAGCTCTTATTGCATCTGACTGTCCGCTTAGTTCACTCTGCAGACATGGTAGTCTTCACAGCATTCCTCAAAAATGCTCGGCACACTTTCTCCCAGGACCTTTGGCCTGCCTTTGTTATTGTCTGGGATGCTCAGCCCTCAGGTTATCAAGAGGTTTACACACTCACCCCCTTAGAGTCTGTGCTTAAGTATCACTTTCAGTTCATCTGACCCCATGACACCATTGTCTACACTTTCAATTTGTTTAACCGCTTACTTTTCCCTTAATATTTACCAAATGCATTACAAATAACTGATTTAATGTTATGAGGGGTTTTTATTTCAGTAGTCCTTTTCCATAACACTAAAATGTAAGCTCCATAAGCAGAGGATTTTATCTACTTTGTTCAATGACATAACTTTCAACATCTGGCTTGTACTATACATTCAATAATGAAACAAAACTAATTATTTTTAAATCAGCTGAAAAGAAACAATTACCTTTATTACAGTTTAGATATGAGGTGTCTCCCACAAAAATTCACGGATGAGACAATGCAAAAACATGACTGGTAAATGACTGGGTAAAATGACTGGGGTTATGAGAGCTTTGGATTAACCCAATTGGTGAATTAATGCCCTCAGAGGAATTAACTGAGTGGTAACCGAAGGCAGGTAGGGTATGGCTAGAGGAGGTGGGCATTGGGGACATGCCTTTGGGGATATCTATTTTGTATCTGGCAAGTGATTCTCTTTCTGCTTTCTGATCAACATGTGAGCCATGGACCTCCACCATACTCTTCCACCATGATATTCTGCCTTACCTCAAGCCCCAAGAAATGGAGCAGACTGTGCATAGACTGAGACTGCTGAAACCATGAGCCCCCAAATAAACTTTTCCTCCTCTAAAATTGTGCTTGACATGTCTTTGGACACGGCAGGAAAAAAAAAAAAAAAAAACTGACTAAAACAACCCTAAAAATAAAAAATCTCATAGTGACCTTCTCTGGAGATAAGCCAAAACATGACTCATAGTGAATTTAATATTACTAGTAAAAATTTTTGGTTATCTTAAAAGAATTCAGCTATGGAAAATCTTAAGATATCTATGCTTTATGAATCAATGATTTATGAGTACCTGTGAATACAAATGTATAACTGAAGTAATATTCGTAACAATTTTTCCATTTATAGAATGTACAGATCAAATTCTACCTTAACCTAAGCACAGCATCCAGGTTTACAGGATCTGAAGCAGCTTATGCTGGTACCTAGTGGATTTGARGTCAAGTTCTCTGACTCTGCAACTGGCTCAGATGCAGTGTTCCTAGAAATTTCTATAAGTAAGTGTGTTGTAGATGGATACAAGAAAGCAAGAGGCATTTAGAAAAGGCAGTATGATTTACCCTTATAAATCACGTGTGTTTCCCAAGTAATTTTATGCACTAATTCTGTGCATGTATTCCAAGAAAAGTAACTCAGTATTACCTCGACTATCATCCATTTCACCATCCCTTGAATGCTCTGACTGGATGTCTGGAGGGGTCTGAAGAACAGCCACACTATTCTGATTTATAATCTTCAATTTCAATTTTGGTTTTGACCGTTTTCTTCTTGGAACTGTAACTGTGAGGCTCTGTAACTGAGTCATCCCTGATTCAGTCAAACACACACCATCCTGGGTGTAGGTCTTAGGTGGATCTGAAATCACAGAATCCCAGGAATACAAATTTAAACTTTCAATTTTAGATTTGACTGATAAATTATTCCAAAATATGCATGAAAGGAATGCAACAATAGTTTCATACAGCAAGTAACTATGAAATACATAAATAATTAAAACTGGGAACAACTGGCCAAATCTTCCTGGCTGACAGGCAGAAGGGCTGCCTCTAAGTTTTCAATCTGGCATCTCTGTGTGAACGTGGTGTCACATAGGATTTAGAAGAAATRCCCTGAGGCTGCAAGCAGTATGCCAGCTGCTGGACCATCAGCCTCTTCTTAGAAAAGACCAAAGAAAGGAGGCAATGCACATCAGGCATCAAGAACACTCTAGAAGCCCATTGGGAAACCAAACCATTGATATGCTCACTTTCAGGGAAAGGGAGTCAATGTGTACAAATCCTGCAGGTTCCACTTTTAAATGTACAAAACCACTGTTCATTAGAATAATTCCTATACCACCCAAATATCTTTGCACCACAGTATATAAAACACAAGAATAACTGTTTAATAATAATATATGAATCACTATTCTAGGCWACTGTGGAAAAACAAGAATACAACACTGAATTAACTCAAATGGAGCCTGTTTGCTAACTAGGCCTTCTTTTCTGCTCAATGATAACTAAGCACTGTAATATATTGATAAAGCCAAAGCAAGCAAGGCATTAATAGCTACTCTAAGTATTGTTATTTTCATTGCCAATTTGGTGAAATTTATTGGAATACTACCCCAGTAAAACTAGATAAGATGAACATTTTATATGTCAATTACAGAAATTAACAACATCAGGAAATTTACAATGAACACTAGTATGACTAAGGCAGGTTTGATAAAGTATGCGGAAAGCCAGTTAATTATATAAAAATAAAGCATGTATGAGCTTTTTCTAAAGAACAAATAAAGCATTTCAAATTTTACCTAGCTCTTTTACTTTTGTGACAATTTGTGCTACCAGTGAAGATTCGCAGCAGTCTGAGGAAGGCACTGAAATGAAAAAGAATTCAGGTAATTTTTTTTTTCCAGAAAAAAAGTGTATTTAAAGACGTGTGATTAAAAATTCAGCTTCTATACTCATTTTACTGAAATAAATGCTTGGATACTACAGAGTGCTAACAGCACTTTAAAATAACAGGAACTGAACGCAGCAAGGAGGAATGGTGAAGGAGACAGTATGTGTCTGGGAAAGGGGCAGAGAATGGAGCAGTACACTGGACTGCTCCATGCTGCTGGCTGTGCCAAGAGAGCATGCTCCCCGTAGGCAGAGCTGTATCCTACAGGTAGGTGTATGTATGCTTCGTTTTCTCCCTTTCTGCACACTGTTTCAGTAAATCAGTTGGGATAATAAGAATTAATTTAATACACAAAATAACATTTTCCATAAAATACTTGTCCAAATAATAGGTTCACAATTCATCTTGGACAGCAATGTGTAAGTGAGCTGCAGGACAGAATGGACTCTTACTTTAAATTGTTCTCTTACCATTTGATGCAGGCATATAGGGTCTGCACATGCTACAATCAAAACCAATGTCTGCTACATTTTCCACTTCCTCTTCAGTATTTAAGTTTTGACAAACTGCGTGCATCCATCTAAAAAAACCATATTAATACATTTAAAAGGAATTGAACATTAAGAGCCATTTCCTTTTAAAAACTACAAGGAGTTGATTGATAGTCTTCAAATTTAAAAGCCCTAAGCCTTACATGCTCCTACTATCTATCCCATATAACTATTGACCCATAAGAAATTTCATGATACAGAAAAGAGATTGTGTACTAGGGAGGAAACAGGTGTGCATTATCTAACAAGGGTATGATAACATTTTCTGATCATATTCTGATTTTTTTTGTTTTTTCTTTCATATACTGAATTATTAAAGACAGCAATGAAGCTAGTCAGGGTAAGCACAAAGGGATTTAAAAGAATTCAATGGTATGGTACATGTGTACTCTATAGGATATATCTGACTTGAAGTAGCTATAACTCTATACATAAAGTCATGTGCAACCATAATTGGGAAATAAGGCAAGGAATTGTCTGGACTTGGACACAGTTTGTAGGCAGAGTTCTAACGCAATAATACTGTTACTGATATTTTGTGTACAATGCTTAACTGCAAACAGGGCACAATACTATACCAAAGAAAATATTCTTGGAAGCTACACACACATACTACTTATGAAGAGAAAGAATATTTATCTAATATCTAGCTATTTATTACCTAGAGCATTAAGTAAAAATAGTTTAAAAAACAGAACTGTGAGACCACTTATAGAATTTAGTAAGAGAATCAGAAACCCTCCATAAGAAAATGCACATAATTCTGTATTTAATTCTACAGGACTCATAAACCTTCAAAAAGGTTCCCGTTAAAAATCTTCAGAATCAAGAATTTAAACCAGAAAATCACTTCTGTAAGCTCCTAGCTGATTAAAAATTTGGAAAGCAGAAAGTTTTGTCCCTTAAATAAGTGATCAAAGGAAAAGTTATTTTCTCARTTCCTTTGATTACACTGAAGAACAGCACAGTACCTATCACATTGTCTGCACTGCAGAATAAGGTCTTCTTCTCTGTAGTTTCGATAGCAGACTGGGCAGGAAGACAAGCTGGCACAGGGGGCACACTGTGTGTAATTGTTCTGCCATTCACATCTCAGACCTGCAGATGTAGCTCCACAGTGTCTGCACCAAACACACCTGAAATCCAAATCCCCCCAAAAGTTCCCATTTTATTTACATATTTAGTCATTTCACTCAGGAAGCTACACATGGACAAAATAAGGGGAAATCATTTAAAACACATGTGAAAAATTTTCTGATAATATCTAGGATAGCAAATGTGTGCTACATAATAATAAACATACATGGGTAATTTTTCAAACTGAAATGATGCAAGAAAGTTCTGCACCTGAAAGATTGACAAGGAAACACAAATGCTAGAATACCATTTGCACTTCCAGCCTCCTTTAGGAACTGTTTGCAAAGGTGGGTCCAGGCAGTAGGTATGGTAACTTATGTCACAGTCATCACACAGCAGGAGTCTTCCTGGGTCAGTCGCCTTCCCACAGGCCTCACACACAGTACATTCCAGACACCTCCAGCCTTTGCTGAGAACCACTTTAGTGATCTGTAAAAATGACACCACCATACCATGACTTCTATATTAACTCAGATCTCATTTTGCATAATCAACACTATTATAAGTAAACTGGAGCCTACGTACCTAGAAGCAGAAGAGAGGCAAACAGCTAGCTAAGGTTGGGGGCCCAATACTGGGCAGGGCACACTCAAATACTTCTAGGAGCCCACCGGTCTAGCAGGATAATTGAAAGCAGCACACAGTCTGATGACTTTCTAAGTCCATACAACTACCTATTGCTGTAGATTTAATTTCACTATTTCAATAGACATGGTGACTTGATTTTAAAGAAATCATGTAAGCTGCCCCTTTACTATTGACTCAGGATTTGAAACTATAGTCACTAACTCTCCATCTGTGTTATTTTCATTCATCCCAGGCCTCTTCAGCTTGTATACATGGAGTGGGGACTTGTCTATTAAAATCAATAAAAATGCTAAGAGAAAAATCAAAATAAATAAGTCAAGGTAAAACACGAGTTCTCAGTGACACTGTATGGTCTTCAAGGAGTTTTAGGCTATGAAGCAGGATTTTTGAAGTTCACCTTCACCCCTATCTTTATTCTCCTATCTCGGGGGTCTGAGTTAGCAGAAATTTTGAAAATCTCTAGATTCCTGGTAAACTCCTTGAAGAAGCCATATCATGCATTATTATCAATTTGGTACCAACTCTGAAAGCTCTCAAAAGACTCAAGTCCTGCATCACAATATAATARCAAGCAAAAAATGTAAAAATTTCAGATTGTGTAGAATAAGAACATCTGAAAGCTCCCAGAAAGGAAAAAAAGAGAGTTAAATTCAAAGGAACAACTACCAGGATGGCATCAAGCTTTCCAATACCACAGATACTAAAGGAGAATAGGAGTTTCCAAATTCTGAAACGGGAAAATGTTTCAGCACACAATTCTTCACCTACCTAAACAAGCAACTTAGTAAGAAAGTAGAATGCCAATTAGACACAGGAGAACTCAAGCTTTCAGCTCCACCATACTCTTAAGAAAGTTCCTTGGAGATACATGGAATGAATTGAGGACACATACCAAGAAAAGGAAGACGCAGGATTTAAAAAGCAAGAAACCCACAGAACACGAGCCCAGGTTAAGGATGACAACACAGCCACACCCAGGAGCTTCTGGCACAGAGAAGAGTGGAACAATAGGTTCTGGAAGAAGGAGCACTATTCCAGGAAAAAAAGGAAATGACCAAATAATCTGATGTGATGGTGCATCTATAGCAGGTAAAAACAATGACAAAATAAGAATAGTCACTAATAATATTTGTCTTCTTGCTATCAAAAATTCCATGAAAAACAAAGTCACAGCATATTACTTAGTTCTGCAGCAAACATTTACTGAGTCATAATCAGCTTTATTAATATACATAGTAACAGCTATATTGGGAGAATGCTAGGGGGAGCCAGGGAGTGTAGGCTGAGTTAAATCAGAACTCATTTATTCAGATCAGGAAGTCAACAATCTCTAACACTGATAAGGTGGTAGCACTGGCTTATTATTAAGAATTATAGAATTATTTACAGGAACAGAGTCCCCAAAGGAATAGAAGTGGTTGCTTCAAGTGTGGGGTGAGAGTGAGACAGGGGCTGGAGGTTTAGCATGAGGCTTTTATTTGTTTTTTGGTGCTGGGGATTGAACCCAGGCGTACTTTATCACTAAGCTACCTCCCCAGTCTCCTTTTTTATTGTTTCCATATTTTTATTGGTGCATTACAGTTGTACCTAACGATGGGGTCTAATGTCACACAGTCGTACATGCACACAATAAAACAATATGATTTGACCAACATCATTCCCCAGTATTTCCCCTTTCTCCTCTCTTCTCCTCTCCTCTAGGTCTCTTTCCTGTGCTCTACTGACCTCCTTTCAATTTTCAAGAAATATTCCCCATTTTTCCTTTTTCCACTAGCTTCTACATATGCGAGAAAACATACAACCTTTATCCTTTTTTTTTATTTTTTGAGACTGGGTCTTGCTGAATTGCTAAAGCTGGCCTTGAACTTGTGATCCTCTTGCCTCAGCCTACCAAATCTGTGGGATTACAGGTGTGTACCACAGAGCCATCAAGGCTCTTGATTTTTTATTTTTAAAACATGTATGTGTATTACTTTGATATTCTGTTGGTTTTTAAAATTAGCCTTAGATTACCAAGTTATAATTTATCATTTACCCAAATTGAAAAAAGAGACTGGAAAAGCAGGGTAGCAGTCACCCAGTGTTTTCTGTAAATGGGCAGACAGTAAACACTCAAGGTTTTCTGGGCCATGTGTCTTTTGCAACTACAGAGTCTGCCATGGCTGAGCAAAAGCCACTGTAGACATATGTAAACCAAAGAGCACCACTATGTTATAAAGGAAGTTTATGTGCCAAAGTGGGCAGTGGGCCGGATGTAGCCTGCGAGCCATGGTACACTAACCCCTGCTTAGAACAGATAAAGTGGGAGGCAGATCTAAAATTGTACAATTTTTGAAATGGGTCTCCATTTCAAAGAAGCCTACTTCATGGTCCTTTATAGCCAAATTCTCTACTCAGTTTATGTTCTCTCTCTCTTTGGGGACAAGTGGGATGGGGATGAAACCCAGGATCCACTGCATCTAGGGAAGTGCTCCACCTGAGCCACTCCCGGTCCTGTATTCACTCTTCCTGGTGTAGCAGTCTGGTTTCCAGCCATGTCCACCGAAACTGCTGTGGCCGATCAAGACCTTCTGGCTTCCCAATACAATTGACATAGTAGTATGACTGTGCTACCATACTTTGTGTGTGTGTGTGTGTGTGTGTGTGCGCGCGCCACCATATTTGACACATGAGCATGGCTGTGCTGAACTGCCTCTGACCCTAGATGACAGATGTCTGCCATTGATTCATCTTTGTTCTATTGAACTGGTATAATCTTCATTTTTTAAAGCTCTTCGGGTTCTACTTATGGCACCATGTCTGAAGTTGTGACAGGTATGTTTCAGAATCTGCAATGAGTATCTGCTTCAGCTATGATGAACTGGGACCTGTCCTCTCTCCCATAATAAGAAACCAAGTAAATGACCAAAATGCATGAAACCACAGCTTTCAAATACTAGACACCATGGAGTACAAGACTGTGGTGTCTGAGAAGAAGGAAACATGTAAGGTCAGTCCTATGTTAATGTGTCTATAAACTTCTTCCACAACACTACCCAGGAAGGGACAGCCCTGGTACAAAAGTCTCACTGAGTTCAGAAGACATGGTAAGTTCAGAAAGGCTGAGGCAGTTAGAATTCGCAGGACAGAATACTAAAATGGAAGAAGCAATAGAATGAGAGCTCCGGAAATCTACACAGAACTCTCCTGAAGGCCCTGAATGACCACTGAGCTGCACGTGTACAAGGCAGAGCAAGGACCACAGGCAGTGGAAGAACAACCTCTAGGAGGCTCACACAGGACTAGAGACACATGATACCCAATCAGTCAAGAGTGTGAAGGCCCTGGGGAGGAGTGGTGGGATTCAGGCAACACCCAGCAAAGGCCATGTTTTAAGTAAGACTAAACCACTTCTAGAATGGCAGTTACCAAGGACTGCCTAGAGGGCAAAACAGTTTTCACAACACTAAGATGTAATTTGTCACTTGAACATTAATGCATGCACAATTCTACAGAGGTATTTTCCAAGGCTACATGATGAGTCACAACATCATTAATGTCATGCAAGTTATATTTTTATAGTTTTTATATATTTATAGTTTTATAAATGTATTTTTAAAACAAGTAATAAAATGTTATAAAATATTCCCAGTTTCAATTCCTAAGATGGCAGGTATTCAATAGTCAGAATCCTCATAAACAAACTTATTCAAGTAACTCTGAAGACTGTTAAGGGTTCTAAACCAAAAAGTTTTTGAGACTATCCACCTAACAATGGAGGCCCTCTAGACCAACCCAAGAAAGATTATAAGTGTATACACAAATAACTGCCTTCCACAACAAAAACTAAGCTGAAATAATTCACATCTCTACTATAGTTCCAGATATTCATAGATTTCACAATCACAGAGGTTTTAGTATTCTGTACTACTCAGAATGGTGTCAAGGGTACAAAAGGAGCCACACATACTTAGGAAAACAGACTTAAATCCTACCTCTGCCAGTAACCAGTGTTTGCAATGTACTGGCTGTCAGGTTTTAACTTATATAAGCTTTACTTCACCAATAAAAAGAGAATTAATTGTTGAAAGGGTTAAAAGAAATTCACAGAAGCTCTAAATATGAGTCTTATATCTGAACTTCTTCTAAAACTGCTACCAATCTTAAGCAAGAAAAGCTGTAAAGCATCAAGCCCACGGAACTTGAATTTCTATTTTGAAAGGTCTTATTCAATGACCTTAGATCAGAAATGTAAGTATTATAAAGTCAATTTAGAAAATTAGACTATAAAAGATGCAACGAAGAAATGAAACCCTGTTTTCTTCTAGGCACATATAATTCTATTTTTAAAACTAGCTTTATATAATGTGTATTGTATTTCTTTTTTGTTCAATATTCTATAATTTTTTAAAAGACTATATGAAATAAATGTACTAGTACTTGTACTTTGAATAGACTAATTGCACTTTTTCATTTTGATCCCTAAATTCACAAAAACCTATATTATCCAAGAAAATAAACACTGGTGTATATATCAGCAAAGAATTCCAGGGAGTACATGCTGATTTGTTCCCAATACTGACAACGTGAGCAAACAATGATGTAATGCAGTCATGAGTGCAGGGCAGCAGAGAAGCACTAAAGACCACTTGTAAGTTTGGGATGATTCAGCTGAGGTTCCTGCTCACACCAGGCAGACTTGGCTATGGAGCACACAGTGGATGCCTGTTCTACAGCTATACCTCCCTGCTTAATTTTAGTGACCATTTGTTACTTTATTCCAATGTATAACTTTTATTCACACTGAGTTATCAAAAACAGAATCTCAGTTCAACACTTGAGGTACTGAGACTTCCATATCTAAATGTATTTTTTAAAATAAGTATATGATTACTACATGAAAGGTTCCATAGTAAGTCTCTAACCTAAAAAAATGAAACTGAGTACTGCAAGCTCTTTATTACTATGGAAATACATTAAATATGTCTGTCTGTCTGTTTCTTTCAGCTTAAGTAGAAAATATATATGGGTGAGGGCTGAGGAAACTGAATGTGGGAAAGACCAGAATGGACAAATGAATTCTGACTACATACTTTAGTTGTTCTCAACTTTTGTGATCTATAGACAAAATAAATCAACTAAGCCTAATGCCTTAGCAATAAATAGTATAATTCTTCAAATGAAATGCTTATATTTTTGTTTTATTTTTTAAGATAATGGCATGAAATTCACACAATTTAAAACCACAAGTTAATAGAGCAGTCAAGTTCATGAAATAACACTTAAAAGTAATATTTAATGAATTTAAATATTATCACATACATATAACAAATACTTGATTAATTTTAAAGACTGGGAMACATAACTACTCAAATCAATTAAAGACAACATGCTTTTGCTAGCTCATTTCAAATCAGCACACTTACCTTAATACTGACACAGTATGGATGATAACACTGACCACACTGAGAACAAGCAAGTAGTCGTCCTTCTGCTCCTTGACCAAAACTGCCACAAACCACACACATATCCTGGAATCAAGAACACATGTATCTACTTGAGAGCAGTGATTAAGAATACACAAATTTTGGGCTGGGGATATAGCTCAGTTGGTAGAGTGCTTGCCTCACATGCACAAGGCCCTGGGTTCAATCCCCAGGACCACACGCACACAAAGAAAGAATACACAAATTTTATTTTTATTTTAAAAACACTTTAATAGCTTATCTTGTGTATGGGATAAAGTAGAAATGGACAAGGAAGAGTTCAAAAGTAAAAGATGAAGTTCAAACCTGATGCAAAGTGAACTTGTCACTACTAGAAAACAACACAACTGTATTGTGCATAGAGTTTTCTTCTTCATCCTTATTTGATGAAATATCTGCAGTAGACACCTACAACGAGCAAAATACAACAAATATGAAAGTTATATTTCTCATGGTATTATACTTAACTGGAAAGCTTTTTAAAAATTCACATCCAAGAAACAATTTTTGTGAAGATCTGTGCTAAGAATTCCAAATTATAGTACTAATGCCAAGATATTATCACAAAAGTATAGACAAGTCACATTTTTATTCCTCTAATATTCTCTTTAGAGTTGTTAAGTCCTTTAGATGAGGAAGAAGTCATAAACCTATATTTTATAATAACCTAATTACCCAGAAATTCTAATCAAGAACTATTTCTATATACACTATAACACTGTATTATATGTGTATACACATGTATTCCACACTAAGATGTGCTGTAAGCATAAAATATCTGAAAGTTTTCCAAGACTTAGTAACAAATTATAAGAAATGTACAAAGGGCTCATTACTCAACATACATGTCGAAATGGTAATATAGTAAAAATCAGTTAAATGATTTGCACGAAAATTAATTCTCGTCATCATAACTATTTAAATATGGCTAATGGGAAGTTTTTAATTATGAGAGGCTCCCATTATATTTCTATTAGACAGAACTGCTTTAAAATATTATTTTGAATAACTTTCAAAATTTCAGTATTAGCCTAAGGTTTATCAACCATGAATGCTTGTTTCTGGACTTGATTATATTTCATCAAATTGACCAGGGACCTAGTGGCTTGTTAATAACTTTCAGAGGGCTTAACATGAAGAAGCTCTGAATTACATACTGTAATAGAGAACAAGGAGGCCAAGATTAAAATCATAAAGCATGATCTTCTTCCCTTAAATAGGTTACAATCTAGCCTAGAAAGAGCAGAAACACAAGTTACACTAAAGGTCAAAGCATAAATAGAATTATTTTCTTGAGGAATGACTGTAAGAAGATTAAATAAAGGAATACATTACTGTAACATTTAAAATATAAATAATCTTAAAAGGAATTTTAATGGGCGGAATAATGTTTTATGACAGAATCAAAAGTAAGGGCAATTTAAAGTCAAACACTCTTATGGCTATGAGGGAAAACTGTAAGCAACCTCAGGATTCACCACTGAAGAATGAGTAAAAGTATGGCAAATCCAAACTGTAACAAATAATCAACATTATAAAATAGGCAGGTAGAAAACTTAGCACGCTTTACAAGCTGAGTAGCACAAAGAAATTATCAAAATGTTATTAAATTTTTAAAAGAAGGGTACGGTTGTGGCTCATGGGTAAGTTGCCCAGGCTGGCCTCAAACTTGCGATCCTACTGCCCAAGCCTGTACCACTCTGCCTGGTATCAAGATCTCTTTGAATTATAATTGCACATACAAGAAAGAATACAGTATTGTTTAGCTTGATAAACTATTGTTTTCATTTTATAATTTACTTGTTGACCTTTAGACTGCTAGAAAAATAAAACCTACTTCAAAGGTGAAGAAGCTCATCTTTGAGAAAACATATGCTACTGTTGTCTATACAGGTCATGATCTGATTTGTCCGAAAATGAGAGAATTTCAATTTTCCTAAACCAAGCCTAAGAGAAGAAAAAGTCATTATATAAACCTTACAAARGTTGAGACTTTCCAAAAGAAGAGCAAACTAAACTGAGAAAAAACAAACCAATGATAATAAGACTAGAAATCCATGAAACAGCAACTTAAAGTAGAAATCAATGAAACCAAAAGCTAGCTAGAATATCAATAAAACTGATAATTCTCTAACAAGATTGATTAGGGCAAAAAAGAAGATACAAATTTTCAGTATGAGGAACAAGAAAGGTAACATCACTTTCTACAAACAACAAAGCACAAGAAAGAAATATTATGATCAATTCTATGTCTATAAATTTATCAACAGAATGCACAAAGAAAAAAAATTGTGGAGGGGGGTGGGTGCTGAGGARGTAACTCAGGGGCACTCAACCACTGAGCCACATCCCCAGCCCTATTTTGTATTTTATATAGAGAAAGGGTTCTCACTGAGTTGCTAAGAACCTTGCTTTTGCTGAGGCTGGCTTTGAACTCACAATCCTCCTAGAGCTGCTGGGATTATAGGCATGAGCCACTGTGCCCAGCTTTGGACAAATATTTTCAAAGACACAAATGTACACAAAAACTAGATAACCCAAATTATGCCTATCAAACAAATTCAAATTTTACTTAAAAAACATGGAACAAAAAAAAATATGGAGGTCAAGAAGACTTCAATAATAAATTCTATGAATATAAAGATGATAAATTTCCAATAATGTATCTTTTCTAGAAAACTGGAGATAATATATTCTCTCATGCATTCTATGAAGTCATCATTATGCTCATACCAAAATCAAAGAGTGCTTCAGCATATAAATATTCCAATCAACGTAATTTTCTATATTAAAGTGCTGTACACTTGAAATTTCCTAGAGAGGGGATCATAGGCATTTTTTACCACCATCATCACCAACAAAAAACAACTATGTGAGGTGATGTGTCCTGCTAATTAACTTAACTGTAATAATCATTTCATAATGTATATCAAAACATGGTTTATACCTTAAATATGTAAGCTTTATCAATTAAACAGCAATAAAACTGGAAAAAAATTWAAAAAAACATATCCTCATCTCTAGAGGGACAGAAAAACCTTTTGACACAATACAACACCCATTCCTATTTAATTTAATTCATCAAATTACCAACAGAAAGGTGTTTCATCAAACTGACTTACGATGTCTATTAAAAAGGAAAAATGAGGGGCTGGGGTTGTGGCTCAGCGGTAAAGCATTCGCTTAGCATGAGCGAGGGTCTGGGTTCAATCCTCAGCACCACATAAAAATAAATAAAGGTATTGTGTCCAACTACAACTGAAAAATAAATATTAAAAAAAGGAAAATGAGCTAACAGAATACTTAATGAGGAAAGACTAAATACTTTCTCTCAAACAAGGCAAAGATAATGATATTATTCCTATTCAATACTGTACTGGAGGTTGAAGGAAATGAGATATAGAATGAATAGAAAATTAGAAAGCCTCTAAAAGAAAGATACAACAGTTTATCTGCAGCAAACATGGTTCTATGTGTGGAAACTCTAATGAGTTCACAAAAAAGCAACTATAGAGAATTTAAATAAGGTTGTAGGATGTAAGATCAATACACAAAAATGTGCAGTATTCCTACATACTAGCAGTCAACAACCAAAATMTGAAATGAAAACTACATGACTTAAGGACAGATCTGAGAAAACATTAGAGATGTGTATAAAAACTATAGATCATGATTAAGAGAAATTAAAGACCTAAAGAAATGGAGAGAAACATATATTCTTGGGTTAAAGACCCAATGTGGTCAAAATGTCAATTTTCCCCAAACTGATCTATAGTTTGAAGGGAATTCAATCAAGTCTTTGTATGAACTGGAAAGCTAATTCTAAAATTCKAATAGAAATGGAAAAGGCCTAGTATAAAACAAAAAACTTGGAAAACATAGTAAATCAGTACAATACTGGCCCACAGACAGAAAAATCTATCAAATCATACAGCATAAAGATTCCAATAAAAATTCCAAACTAGGGTCACACATTCACGGTAAACTAATTTTTAAGAATAATACAGAGGTAAATCAGAGATATTATGTTAAAACAATTGAATATTCAATATGCAAAAGAATGAACTTTGATCTATAATCGTACTGTATACAAAAAATAAGTCAAATTGGATCAGTTTTAAAAATGCACCCAAAGCTATAATACTTCAAGAAGAAAACATTTCTGTGGTCTTCTATTATACAAATATTTCTGACCCCTAAAACACAGACCTATAGCAAAATAAAATAAAATAAACTTAATCAAAATTATAACATTCATTTTTGGAAAAGCATGGTTAATAAAATAAAAAGACATTACAGAATACTGAGAAAATATTTACTAATCATGCATATGATGAAGGACTTGCATCCAGAACACATAAAGAACCCTCAAAACTCAGGAAGTTAAAAAAAAAATACTGCCCAAAATTTCAATATGAACTGAAGACCTAAAGAGTTATATACCATATAATGGATAAATAAACATCTTAAAAACGGACATTACGATTCTCTAGGAAATATGAGTTCCTGTGAATTGGGACAGTGACATATGGGAGGAGTCTGAAGGGACTGGGGACATTGAACCCCAACATTCTGATGAGTTTATTTTGCCAGAAGTTGTTGAGTTCCCACCCTTAGCCATGACTGAGGCATCCCTATGCACACCCTCAGTGGCATTGGCTTCTCCACTTCCTGTGGAGGGAACTAATCTTGCTCTGCCTATGGAAAAAATAAAGACCTTTCATGATTCAGTTTCTCAGCATGAAAATGTTGACACTCCTTAGGACCCACCTCACCACTGTCTCCAGGCCTATAATTAGATCCAAGTCTAAGCAGTCCCCTAGAAGTAAGGTACAGAATGTGGCCCATGAGCAGGTTTACTACACTTCCAAGAAACTTCTTGAGTTTTCAAGTTCATACAAGTAGAGGTCTGGGGAACATGTTGTGAGAATGGATTTTAAGGATGTGGGATAATGGTGGAAGGAACATAAAATTACATTAAGCTGGATTTATTGATATGTTGCATTAAGCAGAGATTCTACATTTAACATAAGAGCTCAAAGTGTTAAAAAGGATTGTTTGGATGGTTGGCTGAAGTATGGATCCAAAGACGATCTACTGTAAATGAGCTGGAAAAGCCTGATATCTCTTGGTTTACTGTTGATGAAGGAATTCAGAGGCTCAATTGGAATCCTTCAGTCGATCTGTCAGGTACAACCTTCTCTCCCATAATGGGAGGGTCCAGAACATGTGCCCTTTACCAAAACTATAAGAAACAAATCCGTGAGGGGAGCACCAGCATCGCTGAAGAGCTCCGTTAGTGCTCTTCTTTGCATACCAGACCTTACTTGAGAGCTGAGGTCAATGAATTGGAGGACTTAAATGAGACGGGAACAATTGGATCCAGGGGAGGAAGAAGCCACGTGGCA